TTGGTCAGGACACCAGGAGAAACTCCTTTCTCTTTTCGAATAGAGCCAATGGATCTTTAACGTCCGCCTGAACAGGCAGATGGGACCACGGTTTAACAGCTCATCCGAAGGACGACACCTCTGACAATGCAACACACCCCGAAAACTGCATTAGAGTGTCAGCTTAGACTACGTGATTCCAAGTGCTGACGTGGGGTTTGAACCCACAACCACCGCACAGCCCTTCGTACAGGATAGAATCTCAACGGAGGCGTTCGGAAAATCGGGCACCCAATCTGTGTTTGGTCTCCCCCGTGTAGAGGAGACCACAACATGAGCAGTGAGTGCAGTAAACCACATTGGTGGTAGTACATGTAAATCGCTGTCTCACTTGAATACTGTGTTTGGAGCCCTGGACAGAGGTTCAGGAGGAGCTAAAATGGCAGGTATTGCATCTCCTGCGCTGACATGGGAAGATGCTGGTGGGAGGAGAGCAACTGTTGGTGGTGATGGAGGAATGAACCAGGGAGTCACAGAGGGAATAGTCCCTTCAGAATGCTGAGAGGGGAGGGGAGGGAAAATATGTTTGGTGGTTGGATCCTGCTGGAGGTGCTGGAAATGGCGGAGGATTATTTGTTGGATGTTGAGGCTGGTGGGGTGGAAGGTGAGGACTAAGGGGACCCTATCACGGTTCTGGGAAGAGGGGGAAGGGTGAGGGCAGAGGTGCGGGAGATAGGGCAAACACGGTCAAGGGCCCTGCCTACTACAGTGGATGGGAATCCTCGGTCGACGAAAAAGGAAGACATTTCAGCTGCTCTGGTGTGAAAGGTGGCATCGCCAGAGCAGATGCCGCGGAGGCAGAGGAACTGGGAAAAAGTAATGGAGTGTTTGCAGGAGGTGGGGCGACAAATGCTGTTACAGAGCATGGCCACTAGATGGCGCTCCAACACTCTGGGTCTCAATGCTGAGCGTAGGCGTACAAGGTGTTCCCAAAGTCCTGTTACCCCCATGTTTTTTTTACACACAGTCCACTGACCAACAACTGAAACGAGCCAAAGAATGATGATTGTATTGAAAAGTACTTAATTGTATTCAGTACAAGTGTTTAACCGTATCTAGATGTCCAGAGGATTTTCATAGCAGATAATGATCCGTCGCCATGTTCGGGGTGACATCTTCCATAACATGGATGAAGTGACGAGGAAGTCACTGGGGTTAGACATTGTTACACTCGAATCATCTGCAGCAGAAGATAAAACTTCATTGTAAGAAAAAAACAGGGGGCAACAGGACTTTGTGAACACCCTCTGGATTGGGGAGACTATTGTCTTGGAGACTGAGTCAATAAATAGCTGGGCAGAGTCTGAACTCCAGCAGTGTTATTTGCACTCAGAGCTCTAATCTAACAATGATCCCAGTCAGCTCCAGCCTATATGGTCTTTTACCAGAGATTGCACTCGTGACACCATTAACTCAACCCTGACTTAACTCAAGTCATCATGCTGTCAATTTACATATTTATATACATGCTTAACTCGACACTCCAGACAACTCGTCACTGAGCCCTTTTATTATAATAATCTTTATTTTTGATATAGCGCCTTATCACGTTGTTGAGACGTCTCAAAGCTCTTCCAAGTATATACTTTCAAGTGGAGTGACTGTATATTTTGTGGGAGAAACATGGCAGCCAATTGGGCACAGCAGTGTCCCACAAACAGCCTTGAAATTAATGACTAATTTTAGTTGGACAATTGTTGGCCAGGACACTGGGAGAAACCCTTCTCTTGTTGAATAACGCTATGGGATCTTTAACATTCACCTGAAGATGCAGGAGGGACCTCAGTTTAACATCTCATCCCTTGAAGTGTTGAGTTATCAGGAGTTCCCATTTGGTACAGTACCTCATTGTATCATTGAGACATCTCAGAGCACTTCACACGTTTTTATGGTGAAGTTCCCTAATTTTGTATTTTGTGAGCAAATGCAACTGCCAATTTGCACACAGAAATGTCCAAAATCAGCCTTGGAGCGAGTGACCAATTTTATTTGGGGGTTACTAGGAAGGTCCAGGACACAGGGATTTGTCTGCTCACTCTCCCTCTACATATCTTACAAAACACGGCAGATGCTGGAAATCCGAAAACAAAAACAGAAGTCGCTGGGATCACTCAGCAGGTCAGGCAGCATCTATGGAGAGAGGAAAGTGAGTCAACGTTTCGGGTCCATAAATGCTGCTGAGTGATCCCAGCGACTTCTGTGTGTATATTTCTGACTCCGTCTATCTCTATCTCTCACTGACTGTCTGCCTATATCGTCTCGTTCCCTCCCTCCCCATTTTCAGGTCTCTGCTGAAGACCTTTCTTTTCGACTGCGCCTTTGGTCACCTCCCTCCCCACCGCCCTCCCCTCCGGCTCGGTCCCGGGATCCGTTACTGCGAAGCGCTCTGAGACGCCGTCCGGCGTGGAGGGCGCTATATAAATCCAAGTTGTTGTTGTTGTTCTCTGTCTCTGACGTTGACTGTCCACAGCGCCTCGGGACGTCCTCCCGACGTGAAAGGCGGCTGTACAGGTGTGATTTTGTTGCTGTTGTTGTTGTTGTCGTCGTTGTCTGTGTCCTCCCCCTGCTGTTGGGCACGTGTAATTGCCTGGGAGGCCCCCACCCACCCCACCACCCGAGGCAGTGAGAGCGCCCCCTGCCGCCGTCGTGGGGAAAGCCATTGAGATTCCCCTCCTCACTGTCCTTGGTCGGTTGGGGGCGGGGCCTCGGTGTGACGGACACCTCACCACAGCCAATCCGCGGCCGCTCCGGGCCCAAAGGGATACAATTCTGGCCCCGCCCCCTCCCCCGGCAACACTGGGGCCCGGAATACCCTCAGCCCCGGGGCGACCCCCCCTCTCTCTCTCTCTCTCTCTCTGTGAGTGGCTCATTTACTGATCTCCCTCTCTCTCTGTGTTACTCTCACTCTCTGTGTCTCTCCATCTCTCTGTGTGTCTCCATCTCTCTGTGTTTCTCTCACTCTCTCTCTCTCTCCATCTCTCTGTTTCTCACTCTCTCTGTGTTACTCTCACTCTCTGTGTCTCTCACTCTCTGTGTCTCTCCATCTCTCTGTGTTACTCTCACTCTCTCTGTGTTACTCTCACTCTCTGTGTCTCTCCATCTCTCTGTGTGTCTCCATCTCTCTGTGTTTCTCTCACTCTCTCTCTCTCTCCATCTCTCTGTTTCTCACTCTCTCTGTGTTACTCGCACTCTCTGTGTCTCTCGCTCTCTGTGTCTCTCCATCTCTCTGTGTTTCTCTCACTCTCTCTCTCTCTCCATCTCTCTGTTTCTCACTCTCTCTGTGTTACTCGCACTCTCTGTGTCTCTCGCTCTCTGTGTCTCTCCATCTCTCTGTGTTTCTCTCACTCTCTCTCTCTCTCCATCTCTCTGTTTCTCACTCTCTCTGTGTTACTCTCACTCTCTGTGTCTCTCGCTCTCTGTCTCTCTCCATCTCTCTGTGTTTCTCTCACTCTCTCCATCTCTCTGCGTTTCTCTCACTCTCTCCATCTCTCTGCGTTTCTCTCACTCTCTCCATCACTCTGCATTTCTCTCGCTCTATCACTGTATTACTCTCACTCTGTCTCTGTACTTCTCTCACTCTTTCTCTCCATCTCTCTCTCTGTATATCTCTCGCTTTGTGAGTGTATCATTTTCTGATCTCCCCAATCTCTGTCTCTATATTTCTCTCTCCCCCTCTCTCTCTGTATCCGTCAGATTTCTCTCTCTCTCCATCTGTATCCCATTCTGTAAGTGCATCATTTTCTGCGCTCTATCTCTCTGCTTCTCTCTTTCTCTCCATCTCTGTGTCTCTCTGTATCTCTCTCACTCTGTGACTATCATTTTCTGATTTCTCCCTTTCTCTGTCTCTCTCTCTCTCTCTCTCTTCCACTATAAGTGTGTGATTTTCTGCTCTGTCTCTGTAGTCTGTTACTGTGTTAATAACTGTAATTGTGTCTCTGTGGAATCTCTCTCTGTGTATCTCTCTCGACGCTCATGTTCTGGTCTCTGGTGATTGGTCAGGAGAGGGGGAGGGGGCGTGGCCGAGCTGCCGCTGAGGGCGGGTCACGTGCGGTGCTGGTCACATGACCCGGAGTCAGCTGACGCCGGGGCTGATGGCGGCGCCGGAGTGAGTGACAGCTCCCGGGACAGGGACAGGGAGTGATTGACAGCTCCCGGGACAGGACAGGGGGTGAGTGACAGCTCCCGGGACAGGGGGTGAGTGACAGCTCCCGGGACAGGGACAGGGGGTGAGTGACAGCTCCCGGGACAGGGACAGGGAGTGAGTGACAGCTCCCGGGACAGGGAGTGATTGACAGCTCCCGGGACAGGGACAGGGAGTGATTGACAGCTCCCGGGACAGGGACAGGGAGTGATTGACAGCTCCCGGGACAGGGAGTGATTGACAGCTCCCGGGACAGGGAGTGATTGACAGCTCCCGGGACAGAGGGTGAGTGACAGCTCCCGGGACAGGGACAGGGGTGAGTGACAGCTCCCGGGACAGGGAGTGATTGACAGCTCCCGGGACAGGGACAGGGGGTGAGTGACAGCTCCCGGGACAGGGAGTGATTGACAGCTCCCGGGACAGGGAGTGATTGACAGCTCCCGGGACAGGGAGTGATTGACAGCTCCCGGGACAGAGGGTGAGTGACAGCTCCCGGGACAGGGACAGGGGGTGAGTGACAGCTCCCGGGACAGGGAGTGATTGACAGCTCCCGGGACAGGGACAGGGGGTGAGTGACAGCTCCCGGGACAGGGACAGGGAGTGATTGACAGCTCCCGGGACAGGGAGTGATTGACAGCTTCCGGGACAGGAGGTGAGTGACAGCTCCCGGGACAGGACAGGGACAGGGAGTGATTGACAGCTCCCGGGACAGGGACAGGGAGTGATTGACAGCTCCCGGGACAGGGAGTGATTGACAGCTTCCGGGACAGGAGGTGAGTGACAGCTCCCGGGACAGGACAGGGACAGGGAGTGATTGACAGCTCCTGGGACGGGGGTGATTGACAGCTCCCGGCACAGGGACAGGCGGTGATTGACAGCATTCCCGGTAAAGGTGAGGGTGAGTGGAGCAGTGCAATGTGTGCATTTGCAAAAGGGGAACTGCCCCCAGACCCCACTCTCCTCTTTGCAGAACAGCCCGAACACTGCGCTGAAGGTGATCAGTTATCAGGAATTGGAAATAACCTGTTGTCTTTTGCAACCAATAACAGGGCAGTGTCCCTTTGAGCAGCTTAGTGTAGGGGCTGCTTATTGGAATTAACCTGCTCAGTAAGACCCCCAAGTGTTAGGGTTAGGGGCCTTCTCTGTCTCTAGGCTTTTGAGAGTTTGGACTCAGTGGGTGATTTGTTTTGGTCAGTCGGGTGTCTGACACACATAGAAACTCATCACTGTGCTTCAGCAGTATTCAAACTAGACTCAAAAGTTCTGTATGTGTATATTACCCACACGTGTACATTTCCTTGGGGACCGCAGAGTGTACACTGGGGTAACTGCTGGAGTATAATCAGCTACAGTCACGTAGCTTGCCATCGATAGCACTGTTTGGCAAGCTTTCCCGCCGCTGCTTGTCCAGTTAGGACCACCCTACCCGTTAGGGCTTTGGCTTGCAGGGTTAACAGTAGTTGAGTGGGAGGATTCCCTGCCCCCAGTGACTGGTCTACTCTCCTAAGTTCTGCTGATGAGCCAGGCTGGGCTGTGCTGTCATCAGCAGCGCCCTGGAGTACTCCGGACCTGCCTGGCTCAGGAACTGGACTGGAGACCGCCACAGAGGGCTAGATTCTGACATTCTGTTGCCTAACATGTCACCTTGCTAGTTCAGCTCCATGCTTGCAACATGCCTGCTTACCTCTACCCCCCCCCCCCCCCCCCCCCAACAAGAGTGCCTGTTAATTGGGGAGCGCTGCATTGTTGGAGGCGCATTCCTCTGGATGAGATGTTAAACCGAGGTCTTGTCTGCCTTTTTAGGCAGACGTTAAAGGTCCTGTGGCACAACTCAAGAAAAGGGAGTGTCTTTCTCCCAGTGTCCTGACCAATGATCTACCAGATAAAATTCAGCACTCACTCCATGGCTATTTGTGGGAAATTGCTGTGTGCAAATTGGCTGCTGCGTTTGCCTACAAAAAATAGGAATGTGTGGAAGCATATTGTAACATTATAGACAGTACAGCAGAGATCTACAAGGATTGTTACCAGGGTTGAGTGGTTTAAGAAAGACTATGAAGAAAGATTGGGCAGGTTGGAGTTTTTCACTCAAGAGTTGAAATGGTTGAGAGGGGACTTGATAGAGATGTTTAAGATTATGAAAGGATTAAAATGAGGTGGTTGTTGATGGGTTGCTTTCACTTGTTGATGTTAATGTTGTTGTTACTGTGAAGCTCTTTAAGATGTTTGAAAACTCATTGCCTGGGGTCATACTTAAATATTGGTTACTCAGTTTTTTTTCAATACACCACTGTTTGTGAGACACTGCTATGTGCAATTGGCTGCTGGGTATCGCCCACAAAGCACAGAGTCAATTCACTTTATGGTATATATTCTGTGAAGCGCTTGGAGACGTCTTAACGATGTAATAAGTCGCTATATCAAATGCAAGGATTATTATATAAAGACGCCAGTGGAGCCCCATTGGGTTTGTAATCTCGCTGCCCAACAGAACTGGTTGTCACCTCGTACAGTGGAAATCAGACTCTGTGATTTAATTGAGCAATGAGCGGATTCTTCTCCAGACAGAGCAGCGTTGTCTGTGAGGGGTGGCCAGAGGGCAAGCGGTGGGAGGGGAATGAACTACACAGACTGCAGCACTCTCATCACATGCATCTTGCCCACTGAACACAGTGAGCATTGAGACGTGCCCCAGCCCCCCCCCCCCCCGGTGTCCTGCTTGCTTGGTGGGAGGGGCGCCGTGAATCCTGCCAGCGTGTGCACACGGGAACTTTTTGAAACTCTATCCCTGAGGCCCTCCACCTCGCTCCCTCCTTCTACCGCTCTTCGGCTGTAGTTTTGTGGAGTCCTGTAGTGAATGTGAAGTTCTGTAGCGTAGAAGTTACAGTACTTACTTCGCAAGCAAGAGGACACCCGTTTGATTCCTGGACAGGGTGAAATCATAGACAAATTTTCTTACTCCACTTGTTTCAAATTACTTACTACAACAACAACATTTATATAGCGTCCCTCACACAGGGTAGCAACCCAGAGCGCTTGAACTCTCTGAAACTTAACTATCAGTAAGTAGGAACTCAGTTGTTTATGGTCATTCCTGTGCGCAACTGGCTGCCGGGTTTCATCCACAAAATACACAGTCAATTCACTTTACAGTATATCCGGTGAAGTGCTTTGAGACGCCTGAATGATGTGATATGGCGCAATATCAAACGCAAGTGTTATTATTATATTAAATGCACAGATTCGTATAAGTGCTTTGAGACGTCTCGCAATGTGCCGGACGCTGTAAGGTGACTGTCTCTGTTTGTTTGTTACTAGATGAACAGAGCCTCGGTGACAATGAATGGGCATCCGGGTGGTGAGAGTGACTTGGTGTGGGAGCGGCCATGGAGCGTGGAGGAGATGCGCCGAGCCAGCGCAGGCTGGTCCCTGGGCGCGGACGCAGGGGTGAGGCTGGTGACTGCTGAGGAAACCATAGCCAGAGGGTGGCCTGACCATGGTGGACGGAGCTCCACAGTGTGTGTTTGTGTGGAGAGGGCTCCGTGTGGTGTGTATGTATGGGGGTTCCGTGTAGTATGTGTGTGTGTGTGTGGGGGGACTCCATGTGGTGAGTGTGTGTGGGGGGGCTCCATACGGTGTGTATGGGGGGAGGGCTCTGTGTGGTGTGTGGGGGGGGGCGCTCCATATGGTGTGGGTGGTGGTGGGTGGGGGGATCTTCCGTGTGGTGCTTGTGTGTGTATGTGTATGTGGGGGGGGGATGGGGGAGTGTACCAGGTAACCATGTCCGTCGGTACAGACCTGCTGTGACCTGGGTTGAGCTGTCCCTGTTCTCTGGCAGCTTCTCCTCTTCCTGCAAGACTTCTCCCAGCGGATGTTATCGCGCACACACGAGATTGAACGCCAGTTGGATTCCCTGATCCAGAACACCAAGGCCACCGACTCCCGGCTCCACAGCGTCTTCAATGACTTCCTAATGCTCTCCAACACCCAGTTTATAGAGAACGTGAGTCTCCTGTACACCCAACCTGACCACTCCCTCCGCTCGGCAGGCACTGGCCTACTCCATGTCCCCCGCCCTTCTCCATCGGCGGTTGGGTCTTCAGCCTTTCTGTCCCCACCCTCTGGAACTCTATCCTGGAGTCCCTCTGCCTCGCCCCCTCCCTTGCCTCCTTCAAGACCCGTCTTTGATCGTGCTTACAGCCACATTCCTACTCTTCCTACCCCGAGTGAAATCAGGCAGCACTTTTTCATACAAAGGGAGTGGAACTCTGCCCTCCAAAAGGCTGTCGATGCTGCATCCATTCAAATTTTCAAGACTTGAGGTGGATAGATTTTTGTTAGGTAAGAGTATCAAGGGCTGTGGAGCAAAGGCGGGTAATTGGATTTGAGGTACAGGTCAGCCATGATCTGATAGAATGGTGGAAGAGGCTGGAGGTGCTGAATGGCCTACTCCTGTTCCTATGTTCGACATGAGGGATCTGTCACCCCTCTTTCCACCCCCCTCCCACTCATGTTGCTGTGGTTACGTTGCATCTGTTGCTGTTACAGAGAGTGTACGACGATGAAGTGGAGGAGACGACACCCAAGCCAGAAACTGGAGGCAGACCCGCTGAGCCTGTAAGTAGCCGAGAGAAACATCTTCAGTCTTAAACATGTTAAACATCTTTGCACTTGGTACATACAGTACCTTATCACAACAACAGCAACAAATTACATTTGTATAGTGCCCTTCACGTCAGGAGGACGTCCCAAGGCGTTGGATAGTCAGGGATTTTAGACCTGAGCTGGGGGTTGGGATCAGGAGGGGTGGAGGGCAGGGAGGGTAGGGGTAGGAGGGTGAGAGGAACCCAGTTGTTTGTGGGATACTGCTGTGCGCAATTGGTTGCCGGGTTTCGTTCACAAAATACATAGTCAATTCATGTTCCAGTATATTCTGCGATGGGATTTTAGATGTTTTGTTGACACAATAAGGTGCTATATCAAATATAAGGATTATTATTTATACTGTCGCTATCACGTGTCCTGTTAAAGGGAAGCTCGGGAAGGATCTGGGAAAGTTTCTGTAAAAAGGTTTCATTTCACCACAAAAGCAATTTGCATTTATACAGTATGTGAAGCGTCTTTCACATTGTGAGGATGTCTCAAACTCCCCACACAGCTGGCGGAGTGTGTGTTTGTGTGTGTCTCGTGCTGTTTGTGATTGAGTGGGGCTCACCCCACGCTGCCCACTGCCCCGTTGCAGGAGAAGACGCGGGAGCAGAAGGAGGCAGAGCTTATCCCTAAGGTGCAGGAGGCGGTGAGGTTCGGGCTCCGCGTCCTGGACTCCGCCTTCGAACAGCTGGACATCACCGCCGGCAACTCAGACTCCGAGGATGAGGAGAGTGGAGAGAGCGCAGAGCCTCTGCTGGAGCCCAAGGTCAGCGCAGGGGGTGGAGGATGGGGTGGGCTGGTCACTCAGCCTTTATCGCTGTGTGTCGCTCTCGCTGTGTGTCGCTGTGGCTGTGCCGCTCCAGCTCCTGCTCTGTCTGTGCTGCGCTCTCGCGCTCTCGGCCTCACTCTCTGTCACTCTCTCTCTCTCTGTGATGTAGGACCTGTACGTTGACCGGCCACTGCCGTACCTCATCGGCTCTCAGCAGTTCCTGGAGGAGGAGGACGTGGGGCTCGGAGACCTGTCCAGCGAAGGTTAGAGACTGGAAGCGGATGCTTCGTTACAGCTTACGCTGGAAACTCCTGATAACTCGTCACTCCAGGGGGAAAGTGCCCGGCGACGAGTTATCAGGAGTGGTGAGTTAGGCAGATGTATAAATACACTAATACATTGCGGCCGGGGCATTGACAGCGTAATGACATGTCATTCATTCCCGGGACCTTTCCTATGTCCAGGTTCTGTGGGCAGTGACGGGCGGAGTGTGCTCGAGAGCGAGGAGGAGAAAGAGCCCAAGGTGAGAGCAGTTGCCGCTCGCTTGTTAAGGAATTATTGTAAGTTCCAGCCCTTTGTCACAACCTGACAGCACGTGCAAGTTAGCAAGTGAGCACCTGGCTCTAACGCTGTCTCGCTCTCTCTTGCTGTATTTTTGTGTGTTTCTGTCTCTCTATTGCTCGCTCTTGCTGTGTGTGTGTCTCTCTCTCTCTCCCTCTCTCGCTCTCGCTGCATGTCTCCGTCTCTCTCTGGCTCTGTCCTTCGCTCTCCCAGTCCCATGTTGTAATGTCAGCCTGACCTGTGACCTGGAGCTGAGCCAGAATGACACGTAGGTGGGCACTGACACTATTGTTGTTCACACAGGAGTCCGATGATGACTTTGCGGATGAGAGCGAGGAGGATGAGAAGCAACCGCTGAAATCCAGCCGTGTGAGTGTGTGTTAGTGACCGAGTCGAGTTACATGGTCTCGGTTGCATTTCGATATTGTCAAGAAATCAGTCTTTCTGACCTCCTTTCTCCCCACTCCACCACCCGTCACCTCTGCTCGTCTGGCTCTGGCCTCCAGCTTGTCCCTCGGCCTTCCGCTCCATCTTCGGCGGCCATGCTTTCAGCCATTACGCCCCGAAGCTTTGGAACTCTCTCTACCTTGCCTCCTCCTTCACCTCCATCCCCTCTTTTAGATCATAACTGAAGACCTTCTTCACCTCCTTCCTCCACCCGGCTCGGGGTCAGGCTCCGCCACTGTTAAGAGCTCAGAGACGCTGCCCTGTGTAAAGGGCGCTGTATAAATGCACCTTGTTGTGTAACTGAGCCTTGTTCCCTCTGCAGAAAATGCAGCTGAGCGATGATGAGGAAGAGGAGGGGGATGACAATGATGAAGATGATGAAGATTCGGACCTGTTCCGCGAGTCGGAGAAAGAGGAGGACGAGGACCAGGAAGCTGCCGGTGGGCAGGTGGGTGGTTTTTCTGCTCTCGATCGGAGTGAAGCCCACTGTTCAGTACAGATGAAGGATCAGAAGGGGTGGAGGGCAGGGAAGATGGGGGTAGGAGAGTCACTGAAGGCGCGGTCAAAGAGACTTGACTGGAAGAAGGCAAGGCAGGGGTTGAGGCGAAGGGACTGTGGGATGGAGTTCCAAAGGGTTGGGGCAGATAGGCTGAAGGCCTGACTGCCAATGATGAGGCGGGCAGGTCGGAGGACGTGAAGCATGCCGGAGCCCATTGAGCAGAAGGAGCTAAGTGACCACATCACTCTCGCGGGCTAAGAGCAGGCGGAGTCTGCAGCATAGTGGTTAGAGCACTCGCCTCGCGAGCGAGAGGACCCGAGTTCGATTCATGGGGTGAAACCTTAGGCAAGTTTCTTCCACATGCCTCTCTTTACCTAGCAGTAAGTTGGAACCTGGTTGTTAGTTGATTCATGGATTGCTTTCCGGGGGTAATTAAAAAAAACGTGGTCACTCAATCCATGACTGTGGGACTCTGTTGAGCCCAATTGGCTGCTACATTTTGCCCACAAAATATACAGTCAATTCACTTTACAGTATAGTTGGTGAAGTGCTTTGAGACGTCTCAACAACGTGATAAGGTGCTATATCAAATAGAAGGTTTGTTACTATAATTCGTACCTGTGAGATGGAGCTGAGCGGCGTGACCAATGACGGTGACTCTTTGTGTATTTCAGAGGCCGGCGGGACAGACGTCCTTTGTAGACGAGCTTGCCGCCCGGATTCAAGGTGACGGCACGCAGCAGGCAGGGCAAGAGAAGACAGGTAGTTACCTGACCTGACCTCCTCGTTCTCTCCGCTCAGCTCATGGGTTATTGCTTTCCCGCTGCTTGTCCAGCTAGGATCACGCAACCCATTAGAGCTTTTGCTGGTAGGGTTAACAAGAGCTGAGTGGGAGGATTCCCTGACCCTAAAACATGTAGAGGTCTTCAAAATCATGAGGGGATTTGATAGGTTAGAAAGGGAAAAACTGTTTCCACTGGTGGGTGTGTCGGTGACTCAAAGTCACAGATTCAAAATAGTCTCTAAAAGAAGCAGAGGGGAGGTGAGAAGAAATGTTTTCACGCAGCGAGTTGTTCGAATCTGGAACGCATTGCCTGAAAGGGTGGTGGAGGCCGATTCGATAACTATTTTTAAAAACGCGGTGGACGGGTATTTGAGGAGGACGGGTTTGCAGGGTTATGGGGAAAGGGCTGGGGAGTGGGATTGACATTAATTGCTCTATTCAAAGAGCCGTGCACAAACTTGATGGGCCGAATGGACTCTTTTTGTGTTGTATGATTCTATGCTTCTATGTGTGTGCACATATTACATGCTTGCACATATACATAAGAGTACTCACGCACACATGACTCTGGCCACTCTCCGTTATATTTTTGTGTCTGTAGTTTCCAAGACGACTGAACCTGCAGCAAAGAAACGAGAGAAAACCAAGAAAGAAACGCAAAGAAAATGTGAAGGTAACTCTTCCTACATTCCTCAGAGCAGGGAACAAGCACCGGCCTTCTCCTTATTGCCTGTGGAAAAAGAAGCTCAGAGAGTGTGGAGGACCTCCTCGTCAGGCCTCAGTTCTAGTGGGACGCCTTGGACAGAAGGTACAGGACATGGGAACACAGCTCAGTGTGAAATGCACGAGAGCATTGCCACCATTTTCCTGTCCGCAGCTCGAGAACACGTCCCTTCCCAGACATGGCAAGGATCGGGAAGAGGAGCAGAGGGGAGGGGTGTATAATGGAAAATGAGGACGGGCTGTGGATCATGAACAATAATAACAATAATCCTTGCATTTGATTCAGCACCTTATCACGTTGTTGAGACGTCTCAAACTGAGAAGTGAGTCACCAATTTTATTTGGGGATTGTCGGCCAGTACACTGGGAAAGGGAAACTCCTTATTCTTTTTGAATAGAGCTATGGGATCTTTAATGTCCACCTGAACAGGCAGATGGGACCTAGGTTTAACATCTCATTAAAAGGATGGCACTTCTGACAATGCAGCGCTCCCCTAGCACTGCCAACCGAACCAGTGACACACTGTGACAGCCAGTGACTTCCAATGACTCCCAGTGGCTGGTACTTTGGGGCAGATTTAGTGCCTGTGGGCCTGGCTGTAGGGTGCTCACTGACACTGTTCTCCTTCCCTTCACAGATGAGGAAGATCTGTTCCCCGCTCCTCGTGATGATGATGATGTTCAAGGTGACACCTATTCTCCATTTGGCGGCAGAAGTGGCCTCTTCAGCGGAGGACAGGGGTTATTTGACAACGAGTGGGAGGTTGGAATGCACTTTTTTGTTTGTTCTTTTAACGTATGCCCAATGCCCGCCAAACACTCTGCACCTCGCCTGCCCCACACTCCACCGTGCTCCATGAGCCCAGAAACTCTTCCCTGAGCGGGTCCGTCCTCCCATCCTCTCCTGTCTCTACCACGTCTTCTCTTGCCTTGGTTGTTCCGCAGGGAGACTTGTTTGCGGAGGCGCTGAAGGAGGAGCCGAGGGCGGTGAAGACAGTCGCTGCTCCAGGTAAGTGATCACAATCTGCGGGGAGGCTCTCACCCTTGGCTCCACACTGCAAGTCTAGAGGTTTTTAGCCTTTACTCAGCGGAGTCACACTCCTCGGCTATGTTAAATTATCTGTTGAGTTAGAACCACAGAGACGTATCGCTAAGTCGCTCATTATTTTGGAGCTGTCCGCGCTCATCCCAACTCCCCTCTACTCGCCTTTCATTGTATGTGCCCGTCTAGTTTTCTCTTAAATGCCCTCAATCAAATGTTCCATAACAACCTGTCCTCTCTCTCCGCTCAGCAGGCTCCGACCTGCTCCATGTCCCCTGCCCTAACCACACCACCATCGAAAGTCGGACCTTCAGCCTTTCTTCCCCCACCTTCTGAAACTCCATCCGAGACCCCCTCCGCTTCCTCCGTTGCCTCCTTCAAAGCCCGTCTCAAGACCTTCCTCTTCGACCGTGCCTTCAGTCACCCTCCTACCCCCACCCCTCTCGGTGCCAACCACCAGCTCGGGTGCAAATCTCTAACTGTCGAGCGCCTTGGTCCGTCCTCCCGACGTGAAAGGTGCTGTGTAAATGTCATTTGTTGTTGTGGTGCTCTACCCCAGATAAATCACTTCCCACCCTGACATCCTGGGAGGAGTTCTGACGAACCTTTCCTTTTACTTCCCAAATCAATTTTCTCCCCACCCACCCACCCACCCTCACTCACTCAGTCACTCACTCCCTCAATCTCTCTTCCTTGGCCCCTCCTTCTTCATCTTCAGGTCAGACCTTTAGGCCTTCCACTTCGACAGTGCTTACGGTCACCAACCCCCCCCCCGTGATCTGAGATGCTATCCTATGTGAAGGATGCTATATGTAGGTTATTGTTATCGCCTCTGAGAGGAAAAGTAGCATCACTTGCTTTGCTCTGAGAGGATGTATCTTACTTGGTTGGTAATGTAAACGCATCGCGATGGTATGAGGATTTTGATTATAGGGATGGGAGTGAGTGAGTGCGGGGGTGGGGAGAAAATAAGATGCTTTTTACAGCTGTTGCTCTGTGCCTGTAACTCTCTGCGACCAATGAGACAGAAGAACCATCCTGGGTAAGCTATGTCTCAGCTAAGCTGCTGCCGGGTGTCCGGTCTGGGAGGCTGGTGCTTGGGGCTGTGACTAACACCGCTCTGCACTGAGTGAGGCTTGGCACAGCTGCGGCACTAACAACCTGTCTGTCTCCCGGATTGTCACTCCGAGCTGCCAGTGACGGTGCGTCTGAAAACCCTTGTTATCCCCATGTCACAGAAGCTCTCTGGGATTAGCTCCCTTCCCCTCCACATCACCACATCGGCTTTCTCTTCTGGGTTCGGAAGTTCAGTATTGGGCTCCGAATCCTCGGATCGAGCTTTGTGCTGTCATTGTAAGAGCCAGAGTTAGAGTGAGAGAGAGGCTGGTCTTTATGTGGAGAGATTCAGGTTAGATACAAGCAGCTCCCAATGTGACTCGGTGAGTTTGTTCAATGAGAAGCTCAGACATGCTGGACAGGAAAAATCACAGGTTCAAATCCCGCTGAGGGACTGATCACCGCAGTTTCGGGGGCTACATTTGACCTCAGTTCCCCCTGGAAAGTGAGTGGGTATGGAGACATCAATTGAGGAGTTCTTGAGTCTGATGCTCACTGTTTGTCAAATGTCTTAACACCCGCTATCCAAACTCGAAGGGTAGCATTATGATTATCCACTGCCTTAACCTCTCCACATGAAGACCAATGGAACAAGATAGAGACTCGGGTAAAAACTCTGTTCGGAGTTAGACAGCACATCTGGCTGCGTTGGATTGTCAGCCTGGACTATGAGCTCAAAGTCCCGACGTGGGGCTTGAACCCACAACCATCTGACTCAGAGGCAAGAGGGCTACCGATTAAGCCAGGCAAAGCTGAACAGAATTTTTCCCCGAGTGTGAATCTAATCACATAATATTAATAAGCCTCACATAATCGAATCATGGGTGAGCTGAGGTTTGAGGTCCTTGTTTTGTTTCTTCTCCCCATGTTAAACCTTTACCTTTTCTTTTTTGTTTGAAACAAAATGTTAAAATCAGAACCTGCCGTAACGAAATCTGGGAAAAAGGTACCGGTGGGAGCGGTGTCTCTGTACCCTGGTAGGTTTATCGCACAGCCAGACTCCTGTGCACCATCGTCATAGAATCATACAGCACAAAAGGAGGTCACTCGGTCCATCATGACTGTATCGGCTCTTTGAAAGAGCTATCCAATTAGTCCCACTCCCCTGCTCTTATCATAGCCTTGTAATTTTTTCCTTTTCAAGTATATATCCAATTCCCTTTTTAAAGTTATTATTGAATCTACTTCCACCGCCCCTTCAGACAGTGTATTCCAGATCGTAACAACTCGGTGCATAAAAATGTCTCCTCATAGCAGTCTGTGTCCCACGCTCCAGATCACGGCTGTGCTCACACCCTGAGGGACTGTGGGAACCTGCACCCCCCAACTTGTTTGCAGCTCAGCAGCTGTAGCAACACAAGAGCTTGATATTTACTTGTCATGCCCTGATGTCTCAAAGTGCTTTCTGTTACCATCAGGAGAATGTCTCAAAGCGCTTCACATGATTTTACAGCGAAGTGTAGTGACTGTGTATTGTAGCTGAATGTGGCAGTCAATTTGTGCACAGCAAATTTCCACAAACAGCCATGAAGATCAATTTTATCTGGGAAGATGGTTGGGCAACACCATAGTCTCAAACGAGCACCCAAAGTGCTGACGGGACCACGGCTTAATGCCTTATCCAAAGGATGGCGCCTCTGACAATGCAGCGCTCCCACAGCACTGCGCTGGAGTGTCAGCCTGGCTCAGATGGACCACTTTTTGCTCTTTGAGTCAAAGATTGTGGCTTCAAACTCTCACAAAAGGATTCAAGAATTCATAATCCAGGTCAGTTCCTCTCGATCAGTGGTGAACAAGATGAAAGTTGCCCAAATGGAGACTGGATTCCAGTCTCTGTAACTACGTCACCTCCGAACCACTTTCAGGCAGATCGTAACAACTCTCTGGGTAAAAAAAATCTCCCCAACTCCCCTCTGGTTCTTTTACCAATTATCTTAAATCGGTGTCTTCTGGTTGCTGACCCACCCGCCAGAGGAAACAGATTACTCAAAACCCCTCATAATTTTGAACACCTCTGTTAATCTCGCTTCAACCTTCTCTGCTCCAAGGAGGACAGTTTCAGACTCTCTAGTCTCCACATAAGTGAAGTCCCTCATCCCTGGTATCATTCTGTCTGTCACCATTGTCTATAGCGGAGTGGTGTCACTGGCCTAGTTACCAAAAGGAATCTCACCATGTCCGGTGCTATGCCTCTGATTTAGTGAATAAATGATCAGAGCCCATCGCCGAGAGCAACTGAGTTCCGAGATCCCAGAATGTTCATTTGCATAAATCTGGAGTCTAACCAACTAAAACCACATAGCTTTCCATTGAGAGAACTGTCTCGGAAGCTTTCCCACTGCTTGTCCAACTAGGACCACCCTTCCCGTTGGGCTTTGGCCTTAGAGTTAACAGGAGCAGAGTGGGAAGATACCCTGCCCCAGTGACTGGTCTGCCTTTCCAAGCCCTGCTGATGAGCCAGGCTGTGCCCTGGAGTACTGCAGACCTAACTGGCTCAGGAACCGGATTCCCGAGACCATTTGGATACAATCAGTATTCAAATGGTCTCAGTGTATTGGTGACAGCAAAATACTGCTCTGAAGTTATCACTGGATCAGAAATCTCACTCTCTGTGCCTTGGGTTAAGGCATATAATTGGGGCAGTGTAGAGGGAGCTTTACCCTGTCTGTAACCTGTGCTGGAAGTGCTGGTCACTCACGCACTAATGCACTTTGAGGTGTGGAGAGCTCCTGCGGGCACTTAGCAACAGAAGGGGGCAAATGAGGAAGCGAGGGGGAAAGAACATGCCTGATGCAGAGGTTGTTAGTGTGAGTCGCGAGGTGTGATGGCTTGGAATCGATGCTCTGTGCCTGTTGTTCTGGTTTCAGGCGTTGATCTGTTTGGCGGGAGTGTAGTGGCTGAGCCCAGTCGCAGGAAGGAGGTGCAGAAGGAGAGGAGAACAGCGGAGGCTGTGAAGCCAGCGATCGCCAGTGGGCTCTTCGACGATGATGATGAAGACGACTTGTTTGGATCCGGTTTGAAACCTAAGTCCGGTAAAACCAGCGATACACAGCGTAACAAATTCCGGGGTGTCTGATTGCTCTGGCACGTCACACTGCTACAGAAATCATAGCCTTCACTTTTCTGCATGGTTAACCCTGGTACAGTGTAGAGGGAGTTTTACTCTGTCTCTAACCCATGCTGTGGCTGACCTGGGAGTGTGGACAGACAGTGTAGAGGGAGCTTTACTCTGTCTCTAACCCATGCCGGATTCCTGTAGCGTTGACTTGCTGTGGGGCCTCTCTGACTATTTGAGATGGGAGTTTCCATCCTGACGTGTTTCTTGTTGGTTCCCAGCTCCCCCGAAGCCCAGAACGGCTGCGGTGTTGTTTGAGGACAGTGAGGACAGCGGCCTCTTTGAGCCTGCAGTGACTCCCAAACTCGGCAAAGACAAGCCCAAGCGGAAGGCCAAGGTGGGTCGGGGGATTGTGCTGGGCTCGCACGGACTCTGCGGCTGAGTCTAAACATTCTGAACAATGCGGTTGTGTCGCGGAGTGCAGGGTTGTGGTGAGCGTGCTCTTCTTGCAAGCGACAGGACCCAGGTTCGATTCCTAGCCGGGGTGAAACCTTAGACAAGTTTCCTTACTCCACGCACCTTTTTTACCTAGCAGTAACTAGGAACCCGGTTGCAAGTCAATCGATGGATCACTTTCCGGAGGTTAATAAGCCACTTCAGCTCCAAGGAGCCGCCATTTACCTCCCCCTCTGAGATTTTCCTGGACTGTAGTGGCCCAGCCATTGCTGAGTTTGGAGGAGAAGGTGAGGGAGGGGAGAGAGAAACTCTGTTAAGGACTGTGTGGGAGCTGGGCCGGGGATTGTTTGGTTTTGGGGGTGAAGGGGAATGGGCAGGCGGGGGAGATGGAATGGCCTCTCCGTGACGTTCCCGGTCTTCCATCCCAAGAACGTGGACGAGCAGCCCAGAGCACCGGACGATTCGCCGCCCCTGGCAGAAAAATCCCAGACCAGCTCAGGACTCTTTTCCGATGAGGATGAATCCCAGGTAATTGTAGCGGCGGTGAGGTTCTGGGACAAGATGCAACGAGTGTTGTTTCCGATGGGTGGGGGAGAGGCACTGGTTCTGATAAAGGGAGGGAGGCACTTTTATTTTGGCCAGCCGGGTGTCTGACGCGTACAGAAACCCATCACGGCGCTTAAGAGTATCCAAACCAAACTGAGAATTCCACGCATCCCACCCTACACGTGGAAATTCCAGAGATAGATTGTTGGAATGGAATGCGTACTCTCTCCCCGGAGAGACCCATCCTGCTTACCTAATTCCAGAAAGTATTAGGCGCAGGTTGGCAAGAGCCAAGGCTTGGCAACCCCAGAGTGTGCGTTGGGATAACTGCTGAAATCTAACCAGCTGAAACCACACAGCTTGTCATTGGTATCGCGTTTTGGCAAGCTTTCCCGCTGCTTGTCCAGATAGGACCACCCTACCCCTTAGCGTTTTGGCTTGCAGGGTTAACAGAAGCTGAGTGGGAGAATTCGCTGCCCGCAGTGACTGGTCTGCCCTTCCAAGTCTGCCGATATGGGCATTGATATGGAGAGGGGGCGTGGGGTGGATGCTGACTGATAAGGACACGGGAAACCTGATCCTGTGGATGGGAGAGAGTGGATGTGGGGCGGCTGATTCCTGTATGTTTCTCTATACCTGCCGCTTGTCTGTCCCAGGACTTGTTCTCCACAAACTCGGACACTAAAGGAAACCAGCCGACAGTCCAGGCACCGGCACCAGTCAGTCACAATCCGGTCTCGCTTTTTGATGATGAGGATGAGGTAATTGGCTGATTTACCATCCCGAACCGTTACCCTCTGTGTGTTTCCTGTCTGCCTCCCATCTGCACCCTCTGTTCCACCCGCTCTATCTTGTCCACCCGCCCCACCCTGCCTGCCCTCTTTGATTTCCTCGAGTAATCTCTTTGAAACATTTTTTCCTTCAAAGCATGTTCCGCAGAAGAAATCACCGCCGTCCTCTGGCCCCAAACCTGAGCCTAAATCCAGTGGGTTATTTGACGGAGAAAAACAGGTGAACCAGGGAGGGTTTCTCTGTGACGTGATTTAATGTTGTTTAGTTTAAGGTGTGTGGCCTCAGGGAGACATAATCTCTACAGAAAACACGAGATGGCATGTTCAGGTCCCTATCTGTGGCCTTCACTAATCTTAGTGATGGTCACCATTGACCAGAGCTCCTGTTTCTGATCACTATTCCCCCCCCACCCCCACCCCAACTCCCCCCATGCTGACATGGAGTCCTGTAGTATAGTGGTTAGAGCACTCGCCTCTCGAGAGAACCTGGGTTTGATTCTGGGGCAGGGCGAAACATTGGGCAAGTTTCCTCTGTAGCAGTAAATAGGAACCCGATTATTAGTCGATTGGCAGATTGCTCCCCAGGGGTAATAGTCCCTCCAAAAATAAATAATGAGTGGTCACTCAATCCACGACTGTTTGTGGGACTCTGCTGTGTGCATTTGGCTGCCGCATTTCACCCACAAAATACACAGTCAATCCACTTTACAGTATACTGTATGAAGTGATTTGAAATGTCTCAACGGCGTGATCAGGCGCTATAACAAATGCGAAGGTTATTATTATTATTATTGCTGTATCCAGGGTGGCTGGCATGGCTCCGAGCAGCGCAAACCCACGGATAAGCTGGCTCCAAGCTCCCAGGTGGGGAAGCCTTCACCGGACAGACAGACAACAGAAAAACCTGGGCCGGTCAGCCCCGCCCACAAAAAACTCAGCCTGTTCGACAATGACTCCGAGAGCGACAACGATGCGGATTTGTTCGGGGTGTCGAGGAGAGAGAGGTAAGGGACGCACACCTGAGAGAGAGAGAGAGAGAGAGAGGTGAGGGACACACACGCACCTGAGAGAGATAGAGAAAGGTGAGGAGACACACACACACCCCGAGAGAGAGGGGAGAGACTGTAAGAGTGACAGTGACTGGAGAATGGGTGTCACCGTGACACTGAGCTGGGGAATGGGCCTCAGGGGGGGATGGCTGTGATGGAGATGACACTCTGACTGCCGGCTGACCCTCACTCCATCTCTGCCATGGCGAGGGGAGGAATGGGGTGCTCTCTGTCAGTGCAAACAAAGCCCAGCTCCATGACACAAGCGTTCGTTCTGCAGTGGCTGAGGCTCCAGAGTTTGGGGTTGGGGTGGGGGGGCGGTGGGGGGTGAATTTAAAATCTCACTTTCATTTTCTTTCCCCTTTTTCTCTTTCACATATTCTCTTTCTTTCACTCTGTCTCCTTTCCTTCCCTTGCTCTCCCACACCCTCGCTCTGTCTCTCTCTCGCTCTCCTGTGTTCTTTCTCCTTCTGTTGCACTCTCAATCTCCCTCTCTCGTGCTCTCGTGATCTCTTGCTCTCCCTCCTTCTTTCAATCTCTATCGCTCTCCCTCTCTCTCGCATTCTCTCTGCAGTCAGAAGAAGTCACACAAGGTCTCGTTGCTGTTTGAGGACGAGGACGATCTCTTTGGCCCCGCTCGCTCCGCTGGCAAATCCACGTCCCCCCTACAGGTACTGTGTTTACATGGCAGCATGTCACTGGGATGTGTTTACAACATGATGTGTTGCGTGTCTCTCACTCTTCCACGCGCTCTCTCCTGTTGCATTCTCGATGTCCCTCTCTCGCTCGCTCTCTTGCTCTCTCCCCGTCTTGCGTGCTCTCTCTCTCCTCCCTTTACCCTCCACTCCTCTCTGATCCCAGTCCCCAACTCGGTTGCAAACCCTTCATTGTCCAGTATCTTGGGATTCCCTCCCGACGCAAAAGGCATGAGATAAATGTAAATTCTTGTGGTTGGTGGTGGTAGAAAGCAGCTGACTTGCCTGAAGCCTCGGGCATCTTTGGTGAGGATGAGAAGAAGGATTTTGTTGACGTGACAGAGAAGAAGGAACAGGCAATGCTTCAAGGGGAAGGCAACAAGCTGAGGCCAGTGGGCGGCATCCCTCTCTTCCCCGGAATCGATATCCTGGAGCAGAAAAAACAGGGAAACACGAAGGTAAGAGTCCAATTCTATTCGGGGGATTGTCGACCAGGACACCAGGAGAAACTCCCTTCTCTTTTCCAATAGAAACTTCAACATCCGCCTGAAGAGGCAAACTGGGCCTTGGTTTACCGGCTCATCCCAAGGAAAGCACCTCTGGCAATGCAACCCACAGCGCTGCATTGGAACATCAGCTTAGACTGTGATTCCAAGTCCTAAAATGGTGCTCGAACCCACAGCCTTCTGAATCAGAGGCAAGAGCTACCACTGCCCCAGACTGACATCAAACTCATAATATCTCACATCAGTTGCTGCATTTTTTGCTCTGACGTTGCTGTGAACAGGTTTTCATTGATGATAATGATAAATAAAAATAGGACAGGACATGTGATAGCGACAGTATAAATAATAATCCTTGCATTTGATATAGCGGCTTATCGAGTCGCTGAGACGTCTCAAAGCGCCCCACGTGACTGTGTATTTTGTTGGCGAAACGTGACAGCCAGTTGCACATCGCAATGTGCCACAAACAGTCATGGAGTAAGTGACCAATTTTATTTGGGGGATTGTTGGCCAGGACATCGGGAGAGAGAAACTCCCTTCTCTTCTCGAATAGTGTCTTGGGATTTTTAATATTCATCTGAACAGGCAGACGGGACCTCAGATTAACATCTCATCCGAAGGACAGCACCTCCAGCAATGCAGCGTTCACCCCTCAGCATTGCACTGGGGTGTCATTACTGAAAATCGTATGTTTATTGTCTCCCTGTGTTTCCAGCGGGAGCCGGCGGAGCCCGAGCCCAGCCCCTCCCTCTTCGTGGAGGATGTCAAGAGCGGCGTGAGCTCCGTGGTCAGCCTGTTCGATGAGGAGGAGGATGTGAACTGGGAGGACAGCCTCAGCTTGTCCAGTCAGGCCAGTGGCGATCTGGTAAGGGGGTGGGGGGGCAGGTAACAAGGGGAAACGGGGAGGGGGAATAGCTACAGAAAGCTGTGTAATAAAGGAAACTGAGGTTTTGTCTGCCGGGTGTTTGACACGTGCGGAAACCCATCACCGTGCTTAAGAGTATCCAAATCAAACTGAGATTTCCATGCATCCCACCTACACATGGAAATCCCATATTGTTGGAATGGAATGCGCACTCTCTCCCTGGAGGGACACATCCTTCTTACCTAATGCCGGAAAGTATTAGGCACAGGATGGCAAAAGCCAAGGCTTGGGGATCCCAGAGTGTGTGTTGGAGTAACTGCTGGAGTCTAACCAGCTAAAATCACATAGTTTGCGATTGATATCACTGTCTGGGTAACTGGACATAGGACTTGGGGGCTTGAAAGAGAGCAAAGGGTCAAACAGAATGGCAAGGTTCGAAGAGCTGAAATGAACAGCCAAGGATGTTAGAGCCGAGCAGCCAAGGGTGGCTTCACCTTTGCTGATGTTCAGCTCATTGCCATTGCATCTCAACGACATGATACGGCGCAATATCAAATGCAAGGATTATTATTACTATTGCCCTGTTCTCTCAGCTGTCGGACACTGGTGTGAGCACCAGAGTTTTCCAGGATGAGGAGCTACTTTTCAGTCACCACCAGCAGCTGGACAACGACCCCGATGTTGATCTCTTCGCTGCTGCTTTGAAGCCGGAGGTTCGTTCCCACCGTCTGCGTCTGTAATGGGATGAGGGAGGTGGGGCTAAACATGGGGGAAGTCAGAGATGAAGAAGGTTTATCAGTCCTGTAATGTAGTGGTTGATCAGAATGAGGAAGGAAGCAGTGCTGGATCTAGTCCTGGGGAATGAAGTGGGGCAAGTTGAGAGTGTGTCAGTGGGAGAGAATCTGGATAACATGATCACACTATCATCAGGTTTAGTGTAGTTATGGAAAGGGCTAAGGAACAATCCAAGGTGAAGATACCCAACTGGAAGAGGGCTAATTTCAGAGAGTTGAAAAGGGATCTGGCCCATGTGGATTGGAAACAAAGATTGGCAATGGGAGGCTTTCAAGGAGGAGATAGTTCAGGTACAGATTAAACACATTCCCATAAAGGGGGAAAGGTAGGTCATCCAAACCTAGCTCAGACTGGAGGGAAGTATATTGTGGTGTCCCCAAGGTCGGTATTAGGACACTGCTCTTTTTAATATATGTTAATGACCTGGTCTTCATTAAAGCTTGTCTCAGTGGGATCAGCCTCACTGGCATTATCCCCTGTGCCCCATCAGCCCCTGTACATGGTGGAGGTGAGATGAGAGGGTGAGACTGACCTTTTTCTTCTCCCTAAAGCTTATGAAGGCGTCTGTGACGGGTGCCAGAGAACACGAGAGAGATGAACCTAACTTCACTTCTGTTGCTGTGAAGCCGCCTCCAGTACATAAGGTAAGCGCAAAGTCAACCGAATTGTGTGTGAGCACTTCCCATCCAGGTCACCCACACCTGAAATTCCTCCTGTTCTTCACCTCGAGACCTTTTGGATAGAAATTTTGAGAAGATTCTTAACCTCTTAATTCTTTCTCTGATCTCCTCCTATTGGCGCCTTTGGGAAGCAGTGAACATGCATTGTCTCAACGCTTAGTTATCAGAGTGGAGTCCTGTAGTACTGTGGTTAGTGCTCTCGCCTCACAAGCGAGAAAATCTGGGTTCGAAACCTTAGGCAAGTTTCCTTATCTCCACACTCCCGTTTACTTAACAGTAAGTAGGAACCTGGTTATTAGTCGATTGTCGGATTGCTTTCTGCAGGTAATAGTCCCTCCAAAAGAAAAAAATATAATTGGGATACTGCTGTGCACAATTGGCTGCCACGCTTCGCTCACAAAATACACAATAAATCCACTTTCCAATATATTCCATGAAGCGCTTTGAGACGTCTCGATGACGTGATAAGGCACCATGTCAAAAGCATGGGTTAGTATTATTATTATAGTGTTACATCCACATTGATGTATCAACTTGCAGGGTCGAAATGGATCTTCTATTGCCTGATCAGATCAAAACATCTCGAAGGCTGGCAGACATGTGGCCCCGTGGCCACGGAGTTGGACAGCGCTGTGATTAATGTAGCGTGTTAGTCCGCCCTCCTATCCAGGCTCGGACAAACCAACTGAACACTAACCCAAGCCCTTCTTTTGGTGTTTTTTTTTGCTGAAAGCGGGAGGCAAAGGGAGCGGGCGGTTGGACCAGTGCAGATGTCACCCCGGCGACCAGACTCAGCCCCAGCACAGAGCATCCCCGCGGACAGAAGCCAGAGAGCGAAGTAAGTCAGAAGGTTCAGCCGGGCAGGGGGGAGAGCAAGCCTGGCTTGGGCCTGGTGACTTTACTGTGAATGTGAGTGTCCGGGTTGGGCGGGCGTTGGTTGACCTGTTATGGCTGACCATGTGCTTTTTATCTGTCTGCCAATTGCCCTCCTCCACAGAGACTGAGCGGTCCACACTGCACTAAAATCAAAGCACCGTCCTCGCGCATTGGAAAACTCCAAGTAATTATTTTGTCATAAGTTTATGTAACCATTTAAGCTCCTCTCTCACTGTCTTGGTTTTCTTTTGATTTTATTTATTCCTTTCACCCTCCCCGCCCTTCAATAACCCTTTGCCCCTCCCTTCCCACTTCCTGCCTCTGCAGCTCTGAGATGCAGCCTCCTCTGCTCACTAAATATTCGGTTCGCCATCTCCACTCGCTCTTTTCCTGCTGGTATCTCACTTGCTGGTTGGGAGAGGGAAGTTACTTGGGTTTTTAACAAGGACTTTGTGTGTGTGTGTGTGTGTATGCGTGTGCATGTGTCTATGGGAGGAGGGTTTCACGCAGTGAGTTCTTTCTGTGGCTGCCTTGCATAAGGAAGTAGGAAATGGGAGAGAGAGCTCTCAGAATAGAACCGAGGTCAGAAAGCATTTCCTCACACAGAGGATTGTGATATTGGCAGGACGTGAAAGGGCAGGCCAGTCACTGGGGGCAGGGAATCCGCCCACTCAGCTCCTGTTAACCCTGTAAGCCACATCCTTAATGGGTAAAGTGGTCCCAGCTGGAAAAGCTTGCCAGACAGGAATATCAATGGCAAGCTATGTAGTTTCAGCTGGTTAGACTCCAGCAGTTACCCCAACACACACGCTGGGGTCCCCAAGTCTTGGCTCCTGCCAACCTGCACCTTATATTTTCCGGAACTAACTAAGCAGGATGCGTCCTTCCAGGGAGAGAATTCCAACAACCTATCTCTGGGATTTCCATTTGTAGGTGGGATGCATGCAATTGTCAGTGTGGTTTGGATAGTCTTAAGCACGGTGATGGGTTTCTGCACGTGTGTCAGACAGCCGGCTGACCCAAAAATAAAAGTTGTGGAACACTTTGCCCCGGCCCATCTGATCTAATCCCTCCAGAACACTCTCTCCGTGGTTGTTTATGGGACATTGCTGTGTGCAATTGGCTGTTGCGTTTCGCCCACAAAATATACAGTCACTGCACAATATATCCTGTGAAGCCCTTTGAGACTTCTTGACGACGTGATAAGGCTTTATATCAAATGCAAGGATTAGTATTATTGTTAAGGTTAGTGTGGTTACGAGAAGCACATTACCCTGGGACTTGACCGGCCCATGGGGTATTCCTGCTCCGATTTTTTTTTCTCCGGGGCTGATTCACCGGGAATGTTGCTGTCAGGATTGGGGGCTGCAGGTTCCAGGCCGAGGGTGATTTCTGCAGCTTCACTAACCACCTGCGGGGTGTGAGCTGTCCGTTCCACACCTTATGCTAACAGTGGTCTAAAGCTCTGGCACACAGCGGCTGTCAACAACTGTGCACCTGTACACTTCCCTTCTGCTGTGGTTTCCAATTGGACACTCTCTCTCCAATACAGTTATACGATCTCTTTCATTCACCCTCACACTCTCTAACAAGCAATTGCATTCGCCCTCTCACTCACTCACAGCTACTTTCACGCTTTTTTTCTTTCTTCCACACTCTCTCTCTCAATCTTACTAATTCACTCTCACTCTTTATAACTGTCATTCTTACTCACACTCATACTCTCACTTTTTGTCTCTAACTCTTGCTCTCACACTCTCACTCTTTCTCTCACTCTCTCACTCACTCTTACTCTTTCTCACTTTTGCGTTCACTTTCTCACTCTCTCACTCTTTCTCTTTCACTCTTTCTCACTCTTTCTCTCACTCCTTTTCTCTCTTTCCCTCTCTCTCACACTCTGGCTGACACTGTCTCTATCCTGATTCCCTGTACCGTGCTGTGGGCTCTATCACATTATTGACACGGAATCTGTTTGGAGCAGGCGACCCTGGCCTTTAATCCGACCACACTGCTGCCGGGAGCATCTCCCAGGATTCCCGCTTCCCAGGGATCAGCTTCTCCCTCGTCTCCGCCCGGACAGTCAGCAAAATCAGCGCCGAGTCAGGAGGTTGGAGTCGGCTTCGATCAGCCCGTGCAGGCAGACACGTTACACAGTGTTGTTAAGGTACTTGCAGATTATAATGAGGACTTCAATACAAGCTTAGAGGCAGAGTAGCTGGGATCAGTTCAGATCCTACCTGGAGAGAATTTATTCACAGAAATAAGTGAAACAAAATATTAATCCATCCAGAAATGAGGGATGTAACATTGTTGTAATGTATGGAATAAGTATAAGATTCGTTGAGCCGTTGTTTGTTTGTTTGACCTCATCCTGGCTCAATCAGTAGCACTGTAGAACAGTGGGTAGCCTACCTTACCGTCGGTCAACAAAATAAAATGAATATATCTCGAGAAACATTCAATCAAGAAAAAACCTGGAAACATAGTACCGATCGAACACGGACACTTACTTAGACTTGTGTAAATGTTCAGGGTATGGTGGGGGTGGAAGTGGGGGAGGGCCGTTATATGTCGGCCCAATGGATCGGAACTGCCCGTAGAATGGCCGGCACTGTTTTAAAATAATAATAATAATCCTTGCATTTGATACAACGCTTTTCACGTCTTCTAGACGTCTCAAAGGGCTTCACAGAATAATCTGTAAAGTGAATTGACCGTATATTTGTGGGCGAAAAGGTTATGGATTCAAATCCCCAAGTCAGGACTTTGAGGTCATAAACCAAGCTGATACTCCAGATGCAGTGCTTGGGGGGTGCGTTGCATTGTCGGAGGTGCTTCAGATGAAACATTAAACTGAAGTCCTGCCTGCCTATTCAGGTTGACATTAAAGATCCCATGGCTCCATTCGAAACGAGTGTTTAAAAGTTCTCCATTTGAAAGTTCTCTCCCGGTGTCCTGGCCAACAATCCCCCAAATAAAATCAGTCACTCACTCCTTGTCTGTTTGTGGGACATTGCTGTGCACAAACTGGCTGCTGCGTTTATTCACAAAACACACAGTATTGAACTTTATAGGGTGTCTGTGAGATGCATTGAGAAATCCTCCTGATGTGAATGCTATTTATGAAATGTAAGGATTATTATTCTTATTGTTTGTTTGTTTGGTTAATACTTTAATTTCTCGGCAGAGTCGTGCAAGGGTAGCGGGGAAGCGGAGACCCCCCACAAGGGGGGCTCACAGACTGGTCGCCCAGCGGTCTGACGAGCTGGAGGAGACGGACCAGGTTTCGGAGTTAGCTGACAAAGCCCCAGAGCAACTTCACATCCCATCCCCTCTGGGCAAACAATCTCCCTCGGAGATCGTGGTGACAGCCAAATGGGCTCCTGCGGCCAAGGCTGACCCCCTCCTGGGCGCCAGGGCACGACCCCCAACCCCACCTGATGCCCTCTTTGGCTCCGACCACCTGTTCTCCCCCAGCGCATGTCAGGAGCCAACGGGACAGCCTGGGGAGGGCTCGGTCGCCAAGCGGCGGGTGGAGAAGGGGCCGTCGCTGCCCACGCTCGCCCAGGACCAGGGTCTTTATCAGCCCCAGCGTCCGGCCGGCAAGAAGCTCAAACCGACTCCTCCCCTGGAAGAGAAGGAGGAGGAGGCGGACGATCTCTTTGGAACAGCCAAAAGCAAGGGCAGTAGGAAGCAGCCCAAAGCCGCTGTGCACAGGGAATCTAAAGCCCAAGACATCTTTGAGGTAACCTTTCTCTGCAACTCTATTTATTGTTCAGGCTCTCTATCCACAAAGTCCTGTGTTTTTTTTTCTACATTTCACTCGCCAACAACTGAAACATGTGGAAGAATGATGATAATTGTATTTAGAAGTACTTAATTGTATTCAGCTCAAGTGTTTAACTTTATTTAGACGTCCAGAGGAGCGGTGTGAGTGTGAGTGCCATCATTTTTATGGCAGATAATGATCAGTCGCCATGTTCAGTGCGACATCTTCCGTAACATGGATGGAGTGAAGAGGAAGTTACTTGATTTACGGCATCAATCTGCACTACTTTGTTATTTCTACGATTATTTTGTTGGCCGACTGCCAAGAAAAGTTGTCTGATCGAGCTGCTCCGGTTCCTTTGCCAGGATGACCTGTTTGCCACGGAATCGTTGGCGGTGACAAAGAGAAGCAGCACGAGGCCAGGGGCCAGTAGTCTGTTCGGGGATGGCGAGGACATCTTTGCCGACTTGTCCGCAGTGAAACCCAAAGAGAAAAGGACCAAGAAGAAAGTGGAAACCAAGTCCATATTTGACGACGACATGGGTGAGTGAGCAGGAGGGACTTGCCTCCGAGCCTCACTTCCCAACCACGGGATACAGGAAAGGGAAATTAGATTGATATTGGTAGTTAGATAGTTAGATAGTTCGATAGATTGATAGCTGGATTCAGGCATCTGAGTCAGGCAGATCCGCAGTACTCCAGGGCACTGCTGATGACAACTCAGCCAGCCTGGCTCATCGGCAGGATTTGGAAGGGCAGACCAGTGAAAATAATAATATTGTTTGCATTTGATATAGTGCGTTATGTCGTTGAGACGTCTCAAAGCGCTTCACAGAATTTATTGTAAAGTGGGATTGACCGTTTATTTTGTGGACAAAAATGCGGCAGCCAATTACGCACAGCGGTGTCCCACAAACAGTCGTGGATTGAGTGACCAAAATGTTTCTTTGAAGGATTATTACCCCTGGAAAGCGATATACTAACAACCAGGTTCCGAATTACTGCTGGGTAAACAGAGGTGTGTGGAGAAGGAAACTTGCCTAAGGTTTTGCGCTGCCCAGGAATCGAATCCGGGTCCTCTCGCTTGCGAGGAAAACGTGTTAACTTCTTCCCACTTGGCTCCTGTGGCTTGTCGGGGGGAGGGACTGTGGGATAGGTCGGGTGTGGGGCCTTGTTGGGGAGGGGCAGTTGCTGAGGCTCTGTTGTTTGTTTCAGATGATATCTTCGCCTCCACTAGTGTGAAGAAGCCTTTGTCCTCCAAGCCCAGGGCGAGCCAGCCCACTGGAGCTCCGGATAGCAAGACCCCCAACGTGTTCGACGATCCTTTAAACGTGCTGGGGGGACAGTGAGCTTGGTAGCGAATGCTCCCGGTTTGGGGGAAGATCTCTGCGAGATGTCATCAGGGGGCATGGGGCGGGGGGAGAGAGAGGAGGAGGTTTGTGTATGAAGATGCATTGTGACAGGAATACATTGTACAAACAACATTGCTATGGCTAAACCTTCAACAAGCTTCGGGTTTTATTCTGATTGAGTTTAACACTTCACATCTCAGTTTCCTCCGAGTCAAGGTTGTGGGTTCAAACTCTACATGTGGCTTGAACTCACATAGGGCTTTGAGCTCACAGTCTAGGCTGTCACTCCGATGATACAACACCAAACAGTGGTTATGAACTTGCATTGGAAAGAGTTGTTCGAATACATTTAACCATATTTAACCTAATTTAAATAATATACTATTCAAACGAGAAGGGAGCTTCTCTCTCACGGTGTCTTGGCCAACAATCCCCCAGATAATACTGATCATCCACTTCATGGCTGTTTGTGGGATGTTGATATGTGCAACTTGGCTGCCGCATTCACCTACAAAATACACAGTTACTACACTTACTACATCCCAATTGAAAGGAGCTATAGCAAATCCAAGGGTATTGTCAATGACGGGTACAGATTGCCCCTATGTGATGGTGACAACCTGCCGTTTTGATGAAGTGAATGGTCTGGACTGCTTTGCATGTATTTCATTGTTCTGTGCCATACTCTTGCCTCTCTCTTCTTTACCCTCCACTCACCATCGGTATCAAGATGTGGAGTCCTGTAGCTCAGTGGTTAGAGCACTCGCTTTGCAAGCGAGAGACCTGAGTTCAATTCCAGGCACAGGGCGAAACCTTGGGCAAGTTTCCTTACTCCACACAGAGCCTAATAATAATCCCTCTAAAACCAAAAACAATAATAAATTGGTCATTTTCAATCCACGACTGTTTGTGGGACATTGCTGTGCGCAATTGGCTGCCGCGTTCGCCCACAAATATACAGTCAATTCACTTTACAGTATATTCTGTGAAGCGCTTTGGGACGTCCTCCTGACGTGAAAAGCGCTATATCAAATGCAAGGATTATTTATTAAGATTGGTTTGCTCTCCTACAGTAACCGTTAGGGTATTTCATTCACAACGTGTGTGATGAAAGCAAATACTTACTGAGTTTTAGCAATACTGATCAGTGGATTCAAGTCCATTGGAAATTGAAACTAGTCAGAGCAGGCAATAGACATGTCTGTTTTGTCTTTACTGTATTTTTTTGGTCAGCTGGGTGTCTGACACATGTGGAAACCCATCAACAACCATGTGTGTCAGCCTCGCTTAGTAGTAGCACACTTGCCGCCAAGTCTGAAGGTTGTGGGTTCAATGGGTGAGTCATAGAGACTCAGGATGGAGTTCCAAAGAGTGGGGCAGAAACACTGAAAGCCCAACTGCCAGTGGTGGGGTGGTTAGGGGAGGGGTTGTGAAGCAGACCGGTGCTCGCTGAATGGAGGCAGCGGGCAGGTTTGTAAAGTTTCAGTGAGTATTTGCAAACTTCAAGGGCAGGGGTGGGAGACATCATAGACGTAGCCTAATCTTTGCTTGTCCAAAATCTGCTCTGCAGTGTGGGAGTTTGGGGGAGGGGTGTCACTATGTAGGGCTCAGGTGTTGGGAAACGATTGAATGATTTTATTGACTTAAGATTATTATTTCTATCAACGTTCCTCTCTCATCAAGCTGTAAATATACTGTACCACAGGCTCTTTCTCCTCGCTGCCTCCTCACTGAGTTGAAATCAAATTGCATCAAACTCGTGCCCTATCACGACTCATTCTTTCTGAGAATCTCACTGTACAATACATTTCTTCAATTTGATACAGTGCTGTAATGGATAAACATCTGCTATCTCAAAGGATAAATTATTAACACTTTCAAACTCACCACAATTCTTGATGCTGGCAGTACAGTATTGGAGAAATTTGTTGGATTAATGGCTGTATGTCTCTGTTTTGGAATGTTATTGTTCTTGCTCAGTTTGTCAGAACATAAGAATTTGCTCGGCAAAAGAAGATCAAGTTCCATCGAGTACGCCTTCCACCACCCTGGCAGTCAGGTGCACATGTCGTGACCCAAAGCACATACTGTATCCCAAGATATTATTTCCTAATCCAAATCTATCTGATATGTTCTTGAAAGAATCAACACTTTCTGCCTCCATTTGTCGCTGAACTCAAAACGGGGCAAATTTGGCCAAGGACGCAACACCTCATCCGGGGGTTGTGCCCGCAAATCGGGGATGTGCGATCACTCTATGCAACCAACGGACGTTTCTCAAATCCATCATCCAGCCCTCAACAACCAAAAAGGTCGCCCCCACCGCCCCACATCATTCCTCCCTGGATTTATCAAAAAATTAATAATGATAATCCTTGCATTTGACATAGCGCCTTATTATGTTGTTGAGACGTCTCAAAGTGGAGAATATTCACCGAATGTACTGGAAAGTGAATGGACTGTAAAGCTTTGTGGGCGAAATCCTCTTTATCAGTGCAATTTGTTGCAGTGGGACCAGTGTGTGTGTGTGTGTGTGTGTGTGGTGTGAATGATTGACAGGTGGGGCGGGGGGGGCGGGGCGTGAGAAGATCACGTGCTCATTGTTGTTGGAGATGAGGGTCGACATCCGGGGTTGGGGGGGGACGGGAACTCGCGCGCTGGTCCCGCCCACACCCGCCCGCGCTCGCGCCGCCCTCCGCCCGCCCATTGGCCGGCGGCGGCGCGACGCGGCCGGCGGAACGCTCCGCGCGGGCCGCTGATTGGCCGGCGGCGCCGTCAATCAGCGGCGCGCGTCACAAAGCCCGCCTCTCCTCTCGCCATCTCGCCTCCCGCGCCCGGAGTGAGAGACAAGCGGCTCAGCCTGCGGACAGCGGCCCCCGAGCCGAGGAGCCGAGCCTCCCCGCCCCCCCCTCTCTCCCCCTCCCCCCCACACGTACACACACATACACACACACACACACGCGCGCGCACAACACAGCCGACCCTTCCGCCCAGGCCCCGGCCCCGGTCCGTTTACGCCCCATCTTCTCCTCGCTTCAGTGAGGAGCTTCCAGCCCGGCTCTCGGTGAGAGGGGCCCAACCGGTGAGTACCTCAGCCGCAGCCTGGAGTGTGTGTGTGTGTGAGGTGGGCCCCGAACCCACAGCCCCGCCCTGGGGGTGAGGGGGCATCAATTCACGTGGAACAACAACTGGTCAATAACTTTTACTTAAACCCTCTCGTTCACTTAACGTAACGATCAGCGGTTGAATCAACGCGCGACTCCGCCCACCGGCACAGTTCGGGCTCGTTAATGATTGAAACCCCCCCCCCAACCGACCTCGTGTGCCGCTCAGGTTTGAACCATTTCCCTCTTATCGGGGTTGTTAAACCGAAAATGCCAATGACTCCCCCGGTAAACCGTTAACTCTTGAGTGTGTAACTGCAGTCCGTGTATCAACGTTCAATCAGAGCGCTGCTTCAATTCGTTAAAAGTCTTCGTAAGTATTTTGTTGCTGTTGTTGTTGTTTAAATGGCAATTATTATTATTCGGTTGTGATTATTTTTTAAAATAATGGTGATTAGTAAATCGTTTATCTTGGTTTGAATGCTAATTATTCGATTAGTATCAAGAATAAATGGTTTAGATGGTTGGTGGTGGGGGGGTGGGTCACGGTTGGTCAGGATTACCTGACCATTATAATAATAATAATAATAATCCTCGCATTTGATATAGCGCTTTTCACGTCGGGAGGACGTCCCAAAGCGCTTCACAGAACGCACTGTAAAGTGAATTGACTGTATATTTGTGGGCGAACGCGGCAGCCAATTGCGCACAGCAGTGTCCCACAAACAGTCGTGGATTGAAAATGACAAATTTATTATTGTTTTTGGTTTTGGAGGAATTATTATTAGGCTCTGTGTGGAGTAAGGAAACTTGCCCAAGGTTTCGCCCTGTGCCTGGAATTGAACTCAGGTCTCTCACTTGCAAAGCGAGTGCTCTAACCACTGAGCTACAGGACTCCAAATTTGTGTGTGTGGGGGGGGGGAGCATGACATTTCTAGGTGGATGTGAGGGTGCTCTTGCCTTGGCACTGACAGCCGGTGCTGCTGTCACCCATTGTATCACCCACTGTTGCTGTGAAGTGTGCTTCGGTTTTCTTCCCTTTGCTGCTTTGATTGTAGCTTAAGATTCGTGTCCTGATGCGAAGTCGTTTTCTATTTTAAGAATAAAATTCGTGCAGACGAGTTGAGTTTGTAAAGCCTTTGGTGTTCGAGAGATTCTTTTGTGATCTTGCTTAGCTCGTCATGTTGTTATAAGTGGGTGGCAATTTGTTCCACAGAGGGACACTAATGACTGAGGAGGGCAATGTCGTGAAAACGCAGTAAGTGACCTATGCTTTTTTAAACCCACAGAGAAAGCGCTTGGAGATGCTCGACGCCAGCCTGCCCCGAATGCTGTTTGAGTTTGAGCTGAGTCTGCAGCTGCTGTGGGAGCGGTCTTCACCTTGAGCGGTCTCCTCTGGCGTTACTGGATGTTGCTGAGATGGAAAACAAGAAGGAGCCTCCCTTTTTCAATGAGGATAACTCCGGACCAATAAGTTACAAGCTCCCATTTTACGAGACGATGGAGCTTTTCATCGAGACGTTGACTGGGACTTGCTTTGAGCTGCGTGTGTCACCATTCGAGACTGTGATTTCAGTGAAAGCCAAAATTCAAAGATTGGAAGGTACAGAGTTACTTTAAACATTCATTCAATTAATGAGAGGAGTGTGGCTTACCTCCCCGTCGGTTTAGGAAAGATGCAGGGTGTCAACCTGGGGTCTGTGGCTGACACCATGGATCTTCCCAAACTCTTCCTAACCCACGGAAGTCAGGTAATGCAGAGCTACGGAACTTAATTTTATAGACCTCTGAATCAGTGAAGCAACTGTGTCTGGAGAGTTGACTGTTTGAGTTTTCTATATTTTAAAAAAAAGTTAACAATTGGAATGAGTGGTAATGTTACACATCTCTGCAACTATTAATAATGATAATTCTTGCATTTGATGTAGTGCCTTATCAAGTTGTTGAGACTTCTGAAAGCGCTTCACATGATATACTGTAAAGTGAATTCCCTGTATACTTTTGGGGTGAATATTAAAGATGTTGTATTGTTATAACCGCCTGCATCTCTTGAAGCACTTCCTAAGTAGTGACTGTTTTGGTAGAGAATTTACCTGGAAGGCTGTTGGCTTGGTCACCAGGAGAAGCTTTGGAAAATGGACTGTTTTAGCTCTCCTCTGAAAGACAAAACTCCAGCTGTGCAGTCGAGCTGGATTCCAGTGGTGAAGTGCTGACAACTGATCAAAATTGACACTTTGAGATACATAGTCTCAGTGAGGGATGCTTCTGTTAGTGTTTATCAATTCTAGTTGTAACGTGTTGAAAGCTTTATTTGGTTACTGTGTAATCCTGTGGCTTTTGAAAAGGTGTATAAAATTTACAGGTCTTTTATGTTTAACGTTTATTCTATATACTGACTGGACCTGATTAATTGGATATGTAGTGCTGAGCTGGTTTGGGCTCAGTAGTAATAATAATATGATAATCCTTGCATTTGATATAGTGCCTTATTACTTCATTGAGATGTCTCAAAGAGATTTACAGAATATACTGGAAAAATAAGTGAATTGACCATACTTTCTGGGAGAAATGCAACAGCCAATTGCGCACAGCAGTGTCCCACAAATTGTCTGGATTGAGTGACCAAATTATTATTATTTGTGGGGGTAGGGATTATTATCCCTGGAAAGCGATCCATCAATCAACCAACAACCGAGTTCCTACTTACTGCTCGGTGAACATGTGGAATAAGAGTTTAATTTAGTTTTCATTTATAAGATGGGCGTCAGAACAGAACCCCTCGTGTACGAAATACACTTGAGTGCTTCCTCTTGCCTTGTGTTGGTATAAACACAGCACGAGTATACATGATGACAGGAGTTTGCTCAGTTTATTTTTATTCTTTCCCTCCAATTTTCTGCAAGTTTTCTCTCATTCACTCCTAAAGGTGTGGGATTCCTCACTTCCCACAAAGGTGCAGGTAGATGCCCAGTTGTCTCAGCTAGCGTGCCCAAAGGGTATTAATTACTCCTGGATTTTTGAAAAACCGTCCAAAATTCAATCATAATTTGAAAGTTGATTTTCTGCAATTCTTTAAATTAGTTGTGAATTGAAGAATATTGTCTCAATTCTCCATTGAGGTCATGGCTAGAAACATTGTAAAACCATGTGTTTTTGAGTTTATGAGAACGTGAACATGCATTCAGTGCAAGAAACGGTTTTAACTCTCGAGTCCATTGGGTTAGTTGGTTCCATTAGTGTTAACCCTGTGCTTGGTTGTCGCAGGGTTAACACTTCGACAGTCGAGGGTGTTGATACCACAGAACAAACTCAGGTTCTGTTTCCAGGATAAACAGTCTTTAACAATTCTAGAACTTAATACAAACTTTCTTTGTTGTAAAAGGCAAAATTCCACTTGATGCATCCGCAGCAGCAATAATATATTGAGCAATGCAAAAGTTGCCACATAAGTCACATTCTTGGATTCTGATTTTTTTGAAAAAAAACTATAAATGCAAGTTTTGAAGAGAAGGGAGTCTCTTTCTCTTTCTCTCTTCCCCCCCCACCCCCAGGTGTCCTGGCCAAATAAAATTAGTCACTCATGGTTGTCCATGGGACATTGCTGTACACAAAACTGTCTGGCACATTTTGCCCACAAAATACAGTTGCTCTACTTTACAGTATTAGAATATACAGCATAGAAACGGTCCATTCGGCCCAATTGGTCTATGCCGGTGTTTATGCTCCACATGAGCCTCCTCCTTCCCTTCTACAACTAAACCTTCAAGCATAACCTTCCATTCCTTTCTCCCTCATGTACCTATCTAGCTTTCCCTTAAATACATCTATGCTATTTGCCTCAACAACTCCTTATGGTAGCATGTTCCACATTCCCACTACTCTCTGTAAAGAAATTTCTTGTAACTTCCCTATTTTGATCTATTTTGTGACTATTTTATATTGATGGCCCCTCGTTTTGGTCTCCTCCACAAGTGGAATCATCTTCCCTATGTCTACCCTATCAAAACCTTTCATCATTTTAAAGACCTCTATCAGTTCACCCCTTACCCTCTTTTCAAGAGAAAAGCGTTCAAGCATTTTCAGCCTTTCCTGATAGGTATAACCTCTCAGTTCTGGGATCATCCGTGTGAATCTCTTTTGCACCCTCTCCAGTGCCTCTACATCCCTTCTATAATGTGGGGACCAGAACTGCACACAGTATTCTAAGTGTGGTCTAACCAAAATTCTGTAGAAGTTTACCATAACTTCCCTGCTTTTCATTTCTATCCCTCTAGAAATGAACCCCAATGCCTGGTTTTCTTTTTTTTTATGACCTTATTAACCTGTGTTGCTACTTTTAGTGAATTGTGTAAGTGTACCCCTAGATCCCTGTGCTCCTCTACCCCATTTAGGTTTTAATTTTCCCGGAAGTACGTGACTTCCTTATTCCTTCTACCAAAATGTACCACCTCACACTTTTCTACACTGAAATGCATTTGCCTTTTAAATGCCCATTCAGCAAGTTTATTAATGTCTTGCTGTAATTTGTTGCAGTCCTCCTCTGAATTAACTACTCCCCCCAATTTGGTGTTGTCTGGAAATTTTGAAATTGTATTGCTGGCTCCCGAGTCCAAATCATTAATGTATATTGTGAACAACAGTGTCCCAATACCGATCCTTGTGGAACATCACTGCCCACCCCCTGCTAGTCTGAGTAGCTCCCCTTTACCCATACTCTGTTTTCTGTTTTGTAGCCAGCTTGCTATCCATTCTGCTATTTTTCCTCTGACTCCACATGCTCTGACCTTATTCATTAGTCTGTTATGTGATACCTTATCGAACGCCTTTTGGAAATCTAAATATATTACGTCTACCTCATTACCTTTGTCTACTCTTTCTGTTACCCCTTCAAAGAATTCATTGAGATTGGTCAAACATGATCTTCCTTTTTGAAATCCGTGCTGACTATTCTTTATTTTGTTTTCGTTTCTAGATGTTTTTCTATTACCTCCTTCAGTAAGGATTCCATTATCTTTCCTACCACCGATGTTAAGCTGACAGGTCTATAGTTCGCTGGGCTTGTTCTATCTCCCTTTTTAAATATAGGTATAACATTAGCTATCCTCCAGTCCTCTGGCACTACTCCCTTCTCTAATGAGTTATTATATACGTGTAATAGTGCCTCTGCTATCTCTTCCCTCGATTCTTTTAATATAGGCGGATGCAATCCGTCTGGACCAGGGGTTTTATCCTCTCTGTTTCGTTAGTTTTTCGATTATATCTCCCCTTTGTATCTTAAATGTATTTATATTATTTTCGATCTCTTCTTGAACTGTCATGTCCACCTGATCTGTATCCCTGGTGAATACTGAGGCAAAGTAATTATTTAATATTTCTGCCATTTTGTTGTCGCGGCCTGTGAGCTTATCTTGTCCATCCATTAATGGCCCTATTCCTATTTTGATTTTCTTTTGTTATTTATGTCTGTAGAATATTTTACTATTTATTTTTATATTCCTTACTAATTTAATTTCATAATTCCTCTTTGCCTTCCTAATTATTTTTTGACTATTTTCCTGATCTCTTTGTATTTTTTTTGTCATGCTCTCCCTTGTTGTTTACATACTTAGTGAACACCTCTTTCCTGAGTCTCAACTTTGCTCTTATGTTTTTATTCATCCATGGTGTCTCATTATTATTTAGCTTTGTCTTGCTTTTTAGCGGAATATATTTCTCCTGGACTCTGTTGATCACTGTTTTAAATATTTCCCACTGCTGCTCTCTTTGTTTGCCAATATTGTTTTCCAGTTTATTTTCTCAATCTCATTCTCATCCCCTCAAAATCAGCTTTTTTTCCAATCTACTACCAATCTGTTAGGTGTTGTTTTTTGCCTTTCATTCGCCCTTTGGCTGTTTTACGCATTGTTGTCTGCAAACTGGCTGCACCGCTTGTCTGCAACACAGTCACGACACTTGACAATATTTAACGTGTGAAGTGAATTCATGCAAAGCAACAGTCATGTACATGTGGGAGGTTTTAATTAATTAAATGTATTTTCTTCATAGGTATTCCTATAGCACAGCAACATCTTATCTGGAACAATCTGGAATTGGAGGACGAGTACTGCTTACATGACTATAAGTACGTACAACAACAACAACAACAACAAGATTCCATTTATAAAGCGCCTTTCACGTCAGGAGGACGTCCCAAGGCGCTGCACAGTTGGGTCATGACCCGAGCAGGGGGGAAATGGTCAGGGTGAGGGAAGGGAGGGAGCAAGGAAGGGGAAATGGTCAGGGTGAGGGGAGGGAAGGGAGGGAGCGAGGAGGGGGAAGAGAGTCGAGAGGGGAGCTGAAGGCACGGTCAAAGAGAAAGGTTTTGAGACCGGCCTTGAAGGAGGAAAGGGAGGAAGCAAGGCGAAGGCACTGGGGGATGGAGTTCCAGAGCCTGGGGGCTGAGAGGCTGAAGGCCCGACCACCGATGGTAGGGCGGTTGGGGCGGGGGACGTGGAGCAGACCAGAGCCAGAGGAACGGAGGGTACGGGCAGGTAGGTAGGGGGATAGTAGGTTGGAGAGGTAGGAGGGAGCAAGGCCGTGAATGGCCTTGTAGGTGAGGATGAGGATCTTGAAATCAAACGTATAAACTTTCCTAAACCTAAAACCTGTCAGACCCCACAATTTCTCAATGGTTCTGCATTCTCCATAACAAGCTTGGCTTTTTTAAACAAAAGTCAATTTGTGAAGATTTAGTAGCTGGCATCAGGACCAATACAGCTTAGTTTGTATCTGTTGCTGTTCTTAACCCTGTTTTATCTAACCTTTTGGAGTAAGAGAAGCAGTTTTATAGTGTAATATGCAAATTGCATGTCCTAGAAATGACAACTTCAGAATGGGCAGAACATTGTTTATTTGAACTTCCCAGGGTAGCTTAGTCAGTTAACGCTGAATGTGGGGCTAGAAAGGTACCCAATTGACTGAGGAAGGTTGGGGAAAGCAGCTTTCTTTCACCGAGCTGGCTCGGAGAAGGTGCCAGGTGGTCTGCATTAATTCAAGGCCTTGTTAATGGTTCACCAATCTATCAATGAATCTTGGAGATGAAGACATGCTCTAAAGCTATGTCAAAGCCTTTTAACAGCCTAAGCTGGGTAAATACGTTGAGATTTAAAAGTGCTGCATGCTGGTAAAATGCCCTGGTACCGTTACTTTACGATAGACTGGACAGACCACAGCAATCGGATCATTTTTCAGAATCTCTCAACATATGCTTGGATGCCTTATATACTGATAATAATTCTGGCATTTGATATAGCACCTTATCAAATCATTGAGACACCACAAAGCGTTTCACAGAATATATTGTAAAATTGATTGACTCTAATTTGTGGGCAAAACGTGGCAGACAGTTGCGCATAGCAATGTCCCACAAACAATCCTGGATTGAGTGATCACATTTTTTTTGTGATCTTTGGAGTGATTATTACACCTGGAAAGCGATCCGCCAATTGACTAACAATCTGGTTCCTACTCACTGTTAGGCAAACAGCGATATTAAAACCAAGGTCTACTTGTTTGTTCAAGCGGTCGTTAAAGATCCCGTGAGTCTTATTTAAAAAGACTGAAGTTTCTCCTGTTATCCTAGCCGACAATCTTCCAGATAAATTGATCATTCACTTGATCACAATTTCTGAGATTTTGCTGTGAGAATGATTGCTGTGTTTGCCTACGGTCAGAGTTATTACACAATAGATATTACTCGTGAAGTGCTCTGAGATAGATTGATGTATAAGAAGCTATAAAAATGTAAATTATTTATTTCTGCTTCCTTACGTTTACAGTATATCAGAAGGCTGTACTCTTAAATTGGTGCTAGCCATGAGAGGGGGACCTATCAATACTAGAAGGGGTAAGTAAGTATGAGTGTGAATCGTCTGCATTTCGTGCTTTGGAATCAGAATTCAATCTGTTCCATTTAGTGTTGCTGCAAGAGGGGTGTAAACTGTGTTCTGAAGTATTCACTCCCTCCCTTGCCTCCTTCATGGCAAGGGCTCTGGGACGCTACCCTGCATGAGGGGCTCTGTATAAATGTAAGTTGTTGTTGTCTCAAGATCATCCTTTTCGACCCTGCCTTCGGTCACCCTCCTACCTATACTCTCTGCCCTCCACCACTCCTGATCCCAACCCCCAGCTCAGGTCCAATTCCTTGACCGTCCAGCACCTTGTGGCATCCCCCCAATGTGAAAGACGCTATACAAATGTAATTGTTGTTGTATAGAGAAGAATGCCAAGTTACAGATTCACAAACTTTCCCATGGTTGCTATCCTGAAACGTCCTAGCTGGGCAAGACACCACTTCAGCACTTCATTGCACTCAAACCAGCTCCATTTTATTTCTATTCCATCCAGTTTTACACAAACTGTCAACCTTTTTTTACACAAAGGCGTGGTAGATGTTACTGTGGGTTGTGCTCTGTGAATATTTGTTTACTGTACTTTCCCTAGAGGCAGTGTCGTTTTTAGTTTGACCTGTTTGTTTTGCATTGCAACTTGAGAGTGTGACCTGTATCTGCCAGCATTAACCAGTTTTAATATTCTAGATCTGTTATTAGGAAAACCTGACTGTGGTTGGGAGCCTAATTCCCCATTTTATGTATTTAAGCTGGAGGCTTTAACTGCACTGAAGCACATTGTACAGTATTTTGGTTTATTGCTAGTTTCCGGGAAGCCAATAGGGTTGGAACTTTTGTGCTCCAAAGAACTGATCTCCGAGAGGTGGTGGAGATTTGATGGACTGAATGGCCTCCTTCTCTGCCATAAATGTCTGAAACATCCAGGACAGTCTGTTACGGAACCACAGTGCTTGCTGGATTGGAAATGTATTGCTTAGAAGCCTTTGTGTGTAAAAAAAAAAAAGCTTGTCGCTTTGTGTAAAACTGGATGGAATAGAAATAAAATGGAGCTGGTTTGAGTGCAATGAAGTGCTGAAGTGGTGTCTTGCCCAGCTAGGACCACTAGGGATTTATCTCACAAGATTGCTAGCCAGGCAAAATTAAAGTTTTAATTTAGATGCTGGCTTTCCACAGTTGGTGAGTTTGAAGCCTTTCCAAAAATTGTGAATAATTTCTTAATTAGCGGGGTAAAGGCCAAGACTGTGGAGAAGTTTAGGTCTCTGATCTGCCTCATTTTAAGAAGCAGCAAAACTGCCCCAAGTTTTTGAAGATATTTCTGGATGGAAGTAGCATTTTACCGTAGCGTAGTGATTAGGGCGCTCGCCTCGCAAGCGAGAGGACCAGAGTTCTAGTCCCAGGCGGGGCAAAACCTTAGGCAAGTTTCCTTACTCCAGACGCCTTTGTTTATCTGGGGGTAAGTAGGAACCTGGTTGTTAGTTGAATGGCGGATCATATTCCAGGGGTAATAATCCCTCTCCCCAACCCACCTCCCCCAAAAAATTGTTCACTCAGTCCATGAGGTTTTAACTACAGAAAAATAATAATAATCCTCATATTTGATATAGTGCCTTATCACACCTTTTGGATGGCTCAAACCACTTCACAGAATATTCTGTAAAGTGAATTGACTGTACTTTTTGTGGGCAAAATGAAAATACACAGTCAATCCACTTTACAATATATCCTGTGATGTGCTTGAGATGTCTCAAAAATGTGATGAGGTGCTATATCAAATGCAAGGTTTCTTCTTATTAATAATAAAAGTCCCTGCCCCCAGTGATGGACTTATCCTTTCAAATCCTGCCAATAACCAACCTGGCTGTGCTATCATTGGCGGTGCCCTGGAGTACTGCAGACCTGGCCTGTTAATTTATCTATCAATATCAAAGTTTCCCTTATTACCGGTTAATCCAGTTTGAGAGGTTTTAGTTTGAAAGCCAATTCATCCACTAGATTCCAGCCGCTACTGAAACATGGACAAGCATCAGGATCGGGTTGCATTTTAGTTGATCTTTATTTTCCAGTTCCGATGGATGATCAGACCAGGGATATGGCTGAGTACATGGAAGCTGCCCAAGATGATTTCTGGGATAAGATCCCGTCCAACAAGCAAGTCACGTTTCTCGTGTACCGTGAAGGTGACCAGCTGAATTTCTTCCGTGTTGTGGATCGAGGGGATGGCACTTTAACACCACTCTCCGAGTCTCTCAGGTATGTCCCTTCACCTCGCACCCTTCTTTGCCTCCTTCAAGGCCTGTCTCAAGACCCTCCTCTTCAACCGCACCTTCAGTCATCCTCCTACCCCTTCCTTCACCTCTTCTGATTCCCCAGTGAAAAACAAATGTAATTAGTTGTTTTTAAAAAAAATTAACTTAAAGTGATTGTAAATCCCTAGATTCCCACCAAAGTATAAGTTTGTTCAACTTTACAACTAGAATTATTTCAAGGGCTGGAGAGTTGAGTCATTCTCGGGATTATAGAAAGTTGCATTACTGGATTGAGCCAGAAGATGGGTTTTAATGCACTCTCACCCGAGAGCACTCTCATCTCCGGATCAGAAGCTGCCATAAATCGGTAGTGATCTGTGGTTGGCCAACCAAGAAGGCAGACTGACATGGCTATATCACAATAATAATAATAATCCTTGCATTTGATATAGCGCTTTTCACGTCTTCTCGACGAATGAATGCAACAACAGCAACTTGCTCTTATGTAGTGCCCTCCACGCAGGGCAGCATCTTGGAGTGCTTGACATTGCCGGAGCCTGACTCCGAGCTGGGCGGAGGTGGGAGGTGGCCATAAGCATGAAGAGGAAAGTTTTCAGGCGGGTCTTGAAAAGGGAGAGAGGGGGCAAGGTGGAGGCATTGAGGGAGAATGTTCCAGAGTTTTGGCGGCATAGAGGCTGAAAGCACGACCTCCGATGGTGGGACGGAGGGTGCGAGGGACGAGCAGGAGCCCGGTGCCAGTCAAGTGGAGGCACCGGGTGGTGAATTGGGGAATGATGAGGTAGGGAGGTGCCAGGGAGTGAATGCATTTGAATGAAACATTTATCTTGATGTTGGAGTCATCGGGAGGTCTCCAACTATGATCTCAATACATTTTGTGCATGCAAATGGTTGACTTGAGTGCTGTTTTATACGACTGTTTGATGTGGCTGGTTTCCTCCAGCTGTTATTTTCAGGGGGAAGGAAGGTTTTACAAGCTGCAAAGCTAATGGCCCCGATACACACGGGATCGCCCATTTCTACAAAGCCCAGGGGAAGGTGTGAAGCTGAAATGTACAAAGCTAGGGCTATTTATAGAATGATTACTGTACTTTAAAACATGCTAATGTCCTGCAAAAGAGCTCTGGGTATGATGGTTAACAGGGCCTTTGAGTACCTATGGAGTAGCCTGTGGTTTGGCTGCTGGCTGTCAGGTGGCTTCATGGTGTTAGTTGTGGAGCCTGTCTTAGGGCTGTGTAGTTCCCCTATGTAACACATGTGAAGGGATTGAGGATGCTGGCATAGTATTGCACTCAGCAGAAGATGGTATACCGAGGTAGTCTGATTAATCTGGGAACATCAAAAGGAATGATCAGTGGAGAGGAAGCAGACACTTAAGTGAGAGAGCATATAAATTTAGGGTAAGCCTTTCACATTCAATCACCAACTGGCTCAGTTGGTAGGACTCTTCCCCTTTGAGTCAGAAAGTTGTTAGTTCAAGTCCCACATTCTAGGCTGACACTCCAGTACAGTACCGGGGTGGCTGTGTGTTGCATTCTTGGAGATGAGGAAGAAACACTAAACCATGACCTCATCTGCCTGTAAGGTAGATATTAAAAATCCCATGCACTATTCAAAACAAGTTTCTCCCAATGTCCTGGCCAACAATCCCCCAAATAAAATTGGTCTCTTATTTCATGACCGATCGGGGGCCATTGATGTGTGCAAATTGAACCTGGGTTCAATTCGGCAGGGTGGAACCGTGGGCATGTTTCCTTACTCCACACTCCTAATAATAATCCTTCAAAAAAAACTAATAATAAAATCGGTCACTTGAATCCGCGACTGTTTGTGGGACATTGCTGTGCGCAATTGGCTGCCGTGTTTCACCCACAAATATACAGTCAATTCACTTTACAATCTATTCTATGAAGCGCTTTGAGACGGCTAGAAAACATGAAAAAGCGCTTTATCAAATGCAAGGATTATTATTATAATTGGCTTCCACATTTGTCTGTAAAATACAGTCATTACACTTTAGGTTGCTTTGAGACGTTCTTCTGACTATCAGATTTAAGGACTGTTGTTATTAAAATCCAAAACTTGTGCTCAATTAGTTTTTTTTGCTACCCTTACAAGATTTCTTTTGTTCATGTTGCCCATGTTTTCTTATTTGACGTGCACCAGTCATAAAAGGAGTTTGCTGTCTGATTTCAGATGTGGTTGCAGATTTCTGATTGATTTTGTAACCTCTGAATGGATCTTATTTCTTTTATGTAAAGTGGAGGTTCAGTCTTCAACTTGTACACTGAGGATGAGGAGGATGCAGAGGAGTCACCATCTGGACAGCAAATCTTGGAGAATTCAATCACTATGAATAAAATGAAACTGCTGAAAGCTAAAATGGAGAACATGAACCTTACTAAAAAGGTAAAAACTTCAGAATGTATCCTACATATGTGCACAAGGTGAAAATAAGTTGAGGGAATTTTCACCTGATATCCTGACTAACAATCCCCCAGAGGAAAAGAAAATGGTCTTTCGATCTATGACTATTACTTTGTGCCTTTCAAGTATTCACCATTCTATGTTGTTTAAATGCCATTGTTCTATAATAATCGTTGCATTTTATTTAGTGCCTTATCATGTCGTTGATGTCCAAGGCCTTGCCAGCACCTTGGGACGTCTTCCCGACGTGAAAGGCGCTAAAGGCACTATACAAATGTAATTTTGTTGTTGTTGAGACGTCTCAAAGCGCTTCACAGAATATACTAATTTGACTGTATATTTTGTGGCAGCAGTCAGTGGATTGAGTAACCATTTTTTTTTATTATTTAAATGTATTACCCCCACCCCCAGAAAGTGATCCGCCAACAACCAGGTTCCTATTTACTGCTGGGTAAACAGAGGAGTAAGGAAACTTGCTTAAGGCTTTGCCCCACCCGCGATTCCAAACCGGGTTAAGCCATGAATGCGCTAAGCACTGTGCTCCGGGTCTCCACTGCTAGTGCTGTTTAAACACTGTTGTTTTCCACGTGTTGTGTAACCTTTCTTTTCATTCTCTTTCTTTCACCACACCTGCTGCCCTCCCAAAGCCCAAGAAAATTACCAAGATGAAGCCAAGACCTCCTATAGCTCCCCGGCCTTCCAGCGGCTCGATCACCACCGCTCGCCACCGCCTGCTGCGGGTTCTCCCACACAACGGACAGTCACTAAATCGTGCGCTGTGCCTACCTCCAGTTGGGGACCAGCGGCTGGTTCTACCCACCCATAACCTATTGGCTTCCAATTTTGCCCCTGGCGTCAGCTTAGCCTCGTCTTCCAGCGGCTTCTCACTGAAGGAAGACGAGAACGCAGACTTGGCTCCTCTGCTCCACAATAACCTGCCGTCTCCAGGCATTGTTCTGACAGGAGAACTGAGGCAACAGAAGATGCTTCCCCCGCTTATTTCTCAGGAGACTAAAGGGGCCGAGATCACCTCTGCAGATCTGTTAGCAGACTACACGGAGAGTGGCTCCCTGTTGAAGTCCCCGGCTCCGGCTGCGAGCCTCCTGGAGGAGTTGAGGGTGTCTGACACGGCCGCTGCTCTGTTTTCCTTGTCTGAGAATGGGGATAAAACAGAGAAGCCCAATGAAACCTCACTTGAAAGCCCGCTGTCTGAACAGGCAAAGACTGAGACAAAGGCAACAGAGAGGGAACTTGCTGAACCAGCTCTTCGACCAGTCTTTCCAAACGCATTGGCCTGTGTCCCAATACAGCCTGGCAAATCTAACATCGCTCAGCTAACTCCTAAAGAGAATGTGGTGTCCCCCACATGGTATCCTGCGCAGAACTCTCCAAATTCTTTAATCAGCCTTGCCCCATCACAAAGACCCTCAAAGACCTTTGATATGAATAGCCTCAGACCTCACGCTTCACAGCATTTGCTGCACACAGCACTGGATATCAATGGCTTCCCTGACAACACGATGTCCAAGACCTCTCGGTTTCGAGGGGTCAAGGTCGAATCTCCTGGGAAGAAACCAGACATTATTTCCAAGATGGAGGCGCGGGAAGTGACCGAGATGGCAAACAAATCAACCAAAGAGCCTTTGGGCTCTTCAAAAGACATTGGAATGTTTGCTTCGCTGGCACGAAGCACGTCTCGGGACGGAATGCAGAACGGCTGCGGAGGTGGGAGGCGGAGGACAGGGGGCGTGGCTCTGGCAGCCGGTGTTCAGAATTTTCACGATGAAATCTTCAGAACCATCCCCTCGCCAGACCGAGTTCCCAATACATTTGTTGTAAGTAGCCTTCAAGTTCATCGTTTTCTTTATTCGTTTTTTGAGGCACAAATGCGCGGCAAATGTGGACTTGAACTTTACCCTTTGACAGGTGCCTGTCTCAAAACCCTGTCCAAAGTCACTCCCACAGGCTGGCAGGTCACAGAGTGATCCTGGTGTACGTAGGACATGAACACCTGGAGTTTCTGTGGTCTCCTTTGAACAGAGCACCAAGGAACTCGTGTTTGGAATGCATAGGGCTTTTTGAGAGCCACCTGGATGGTCCAGTTAGAGAAACAAAAATAAATTTTAAATAAAAATAATTCTAATTGCTTGTATCTCTCTCATACCCTTACATGTACTTTTTCTATTTAATTCCCTCTGCCTTCACGACCACCACCTCAGGGTAGTCTGTTCCACTTATTTGTTGCTCTTTGTGCAAAGGTAAATTGTATCCCAACTATGCAGCTAACCTCATTTTAACATTTCCACGATAAATGATGAATGACATTTTCTTCTGCGGACAGAGTAAAATTCAAATGAAATTCAGGGGGGACGTTTTTTCCTGTTAGGATGAAATTGGAATGGATAATGGCCAATACAACGTGATGCTGTGTAGGTCTAAATGTTGGATGTTACAGGGTCCCATTCACAAGCTTCCAGTTCATAGAGTCGCAATCTTTAATAATAATAACAATAACCCTTGCATTTGATATAGCGCTTTTCACGTCTTCTAGACGTCTCAAAGCACTTCACAGAATATATTGTAAAGTGAATTGACTGCATATTTGTGGGCAAAATTAAAGTTTGATGGGCGGTTTAATGTTTGATTGGCAGATCACTTTTCTGGAGATAATAATCCCTTTTTAAAAAAAATAATAAATCTCAACAACGTGATAAGGCAAGGATATTATTATTTTGTAACCTGCTTGTCAGTAAACGTTACAGCAAAATGTTACAAGGCATTTGGACCATCCAACTGTATTGGTGTTTTTTCAGTCAAAATCCCCTAGTCAAAACCCACTCTCCCATTCAATCCTTCAACATCTATTTCAAGCATCTAAAATAATCCTGTTGCAAAATATATGGACTCTGCTTCACAATGGTTTGTGGTGAAGAATTCCTCTTTCTAACCAAACTCTTTGAAGTTTTTTTTAATCTCCCCTTAAATTTCTTTTGCGATTCTCCAGGTTAAGTTGCATTGTTTGCAACTTAATAATAACAACAGTAATGCTTGCATTCGATATAGCGCCTTATCGTGGCATTGAGACATCTCAAAGAGCTTCACAGAATATGTTGTAAAGGCGAAATACAAAAACTTTTTTGAAGAAAGAATAAGAAAAACAAAGACTTGGTTGCTAGTAGGTTGGAGTAGCCTGGAAATGATCCTGTGCAGCATTGGTGTATCAAATGCTGGCACTGTATAGAGATTCAGTTTTCACAGCTACTGCTTACCCAGCTAATTATCAATAATAATAATCCTTACAGTTGATGTGGTGCCTTTCCCCCGTGGGGGGAGCGAGGGTTGGTCAGGACACCAGGAGAGAGAAACTTCTCTTTTTGAATAGTGCCATGTATTTGAATACACATATTAAATACAGTTAAATATATCTGAACCCATCTCTTTCCATTGTGAGTTCTTAACCGTTGTTCAATACCCGTATCACACACCTGCAACGGCTGGCTGAATAGCCAAATTAAATGACCTATTTCTCATGCTTTAATGGATAATTTAAACGGTCTGCAGGCAGCAGGCTGACCTAACTTGTGGTCTCCTGAGCTCTGGGTAACTGGAAACGTGCTGTGTGTGAAGTCTACGTGACTGTATTCTGAATTAGCTTTTCATTCCCCAGCCCCATAATACACATCATTCATTGGTGAACCCTGCGATTTACTATCATTGCGCTTGTAGACCAAGGCTTCACTTTACTCTGCCTATTACTTTGATAAATGTTTCACTGATGCTAGCTAGCCTGCCACTATCCACAAAATCCAGTTAATCCAGAACTCCGCTGCCCACATACTCACCCACACTAAACGCCATACCCCGCAACACACCAGTTCTAGCCTGGCTCCTTATCACCGAACAGATTGATTTCAAGATGCTCACACTCAGATTCAAATCCCTTCATGCCCTGGCACCTCCCTGCCTCCCCAATCACTAGATATCCCTGGATTCATTTAAGAAATGGCTTGATGCTGTAATGGGTTTGATATACAGGAATGATGAGATCAATTGGGCTGAAGAGCCTTCTTCATCTGAACCCTCTTGTGATCTTTTGACCAGGCTCCTGGAAGATCTTTTTCACAATAATCTAGTGGGATCTTTAACATCCCACCTGAACCACTGGAACAGGCAGATGGGACCTGCACCAGAGTCTCAGCCTAGATTATGAGCTCAAGTCCTGGCGTGTGGGGCTTGAGCCCAAAACCTTCTGATTCAATTGAGCCAAGCTAACACTGAGCCAAGCTAACACTATCCATAGTAAAACATCTGCAGGGATGGATTTACATGTCATAAAATGCCATGAAAAACAATTTCTCTGCAGCCTAAACAAGTGGACATATTATTTGATTCTAAGCACAAATGGGAATTGCTCCTTTCTGAGTTTAGAAACTTGTTTCATTGATCTCACTGCTAATCATCTTAGCTCTAATTTTAAGGCTTGCTTTGAATCCCTGTACCAGAAGGAAGGTTTGCCTCCTGTTTAAGCTTGTTAATTCTTTATTTTAAACACTGATTTCCCCAATGGCAACTGAATGAAAGAAAGGGAATCAGAGAAAAAATCAACGTTGAATGATTCTGTGTGTGTGATGGGCAGAAAGAGGAGCAAATTGTTTCAAACATAAAGTCGTGAAAAATATTAAGAGTAATCTTGGGTCACTGATTGACCCATCACCAGTTAATTCACTTAGTTTGCCCTTTGCTCTTTTGTTGAATATCTCGTTGAATTTTTCATTGTTTTTTTTGAGTGCCCTATCACAACAAAATGTGATATTGTTTCTCAGGAATTTGCTCTAGAGAGAACTTAGCGACTTTTTTTGTAAACATATACGGCAGCTATTTATGCTAGCAAGTTACCACACAGAGCCATAATAATATAATAATCCTTGCATTTGATATAGCGACTCATCACGTTATTGAGACGCCTCAAAGCGTCTCACAGGACATGCTGTAATGTGGAGTGACTGGGTATTTTGTGGACGAAACACAGCGGCCAATTGCGCACAGCAGTGTCCCACAAACTGCTACAGAATGAGTGACCAATGTTCCTCTTCTTTACCCCACTTCTAGTCTTCCCACGCACTTTGTACAACTGGCAGATCGACTACTATGGGCAGAAGAATAGGTAAGCTGTCAACCGTGCGAAACGTGGGACCTTTATAGAGTGTTTTTTCCTTATTTTGTACTTTCTTCCCTCCGTTCTCACCTTTTTCCCCTCTATCCCTGGGATAACTAACTCCATTATTCTTCAGTGGAGCATCCCTGGCCCTTCCTTCCTCAAGTATACATACTGCTAGTGCCTTCTTTATGTCAGACATATCAAGAGGTATGCTTTAATACGCCTGCCATTTAATACAGCACTTTATCACGTCGTTGAGATGTCTCAAAGTACTTCACATGGTTTGCATATTAGTTTGAAGGAGATTTGCTCAAGGTGCTCATGTTCAGCTGGCAAAGTCATTGTCTAAGGGGAGTGAGAGTGGTGGGAACCTCCATTTAGCCCGACTGGACTATTACCCTTCCTGGTCCTGAAGCCAAGCCTGGCACATTAACACAACAAAACACAAGCTTCAAGTGTCTAGGTTGGCATCAATTGCAGTCCCTGTTGAACTCAACAGTTGCTGTCCGCTCCCTCTGCCCTGCTATAAGTCCCACGCCCTATCCACCCCACTATCGGCGATCGGGCTGTCAGCCTCTCTACCCGCACCCTTTGGAACTCCATCCCACAGTCCCTTCGCTTAACTCACTCACTTGCCTCCCTCAAGTCCCATCTCAAGACCCTCCTCTTCAACTGGTCTTCCTTTGGTAACCCTCCTACCCCTACTCTCCCTGCCCTCTACCCCTCCTGATCCCAACCCCAGCTCAGGTCCAAATCCTTTATTGTCCAGCGCCTTGGGATGTCCTCCCGACGTGAAAGGTGCTATACAAATGTATTGTTGTTGTAAAGTACATTCTTTAAGTGCATCAGCCAATTGGACACTAAAGTGGCTGCTTTTTGACTGGAGCAAATGGGGATGTCTTATTGGGGGAGGAGTTGTGTTAAACTTTCTTCAAGCACTCTCTTTCTCACTGGAAGAAAACTTTACATCATACTGCATTCTGCTTCAAGATTATAAATGGGGCTTAATAGGAATCACTTCTTACGGGTTCTCACACTCAATGGTTTCTGACCAAAGCTGGATCTAGAAGTTGATCAATCTTCCACAGAAGGAGACCAAATGGCCTGCTCCTGTGCTGTAAGATTCTATAGTCGGATTCCTCTCTCTTCCCCTCCCCCTGCAATATCAGTAGTATTGCATCTGCTCACCCTCCCCATGATATCTGCTCTTGTTCTCTAAGTTATAAAGTTATTAAAAAGTCTAATATTTTGTTATTCAAAATGTCATTTGATGTCTGCTCATTGTGTGTCCCAGGCACCCCTTCACATCATTTTCCACCAGTCAAGGCTTCAACCCAAACTAAAAAGAAAAATGCCAAACACTGCTTTCTTTGTGGGAAGAAAACTGGATTGGCTACCAGCTATGAATGCAGGCAAGTAATGGGGTCCGTCACTCACCCAGTCAGCCCTTAAGCCCAGAGGAGGAACCTTCCTCGTACACTTTTCTTACTGCAGTGCCAAATGCATCTCGGAGTGCCGAGAGTTACCACCTGTGTGTGTGCCCACTGCCTCCGCATTACCACCGGGAGTGGAGTGCTTCTGTGTGGAAACACGTTCACTCCATTCAGCTGCTGGCTGGCAAAATAAACTTTTCAAAGGTGCTTTTTTAAAAATTATATCACCATAGTTACAGGTGAAACTTGTGTACTTATGCTGGAGGGAGGGGGGGATGATCATGCCTCGTGGACGTGAAGGTTCCTTGCCTGGTTATTAGAACGTAGAAGAGTGAACAGGCAGCAACCGGGGCAACTATCGTTGTTTGCAAAAGGATCTAAACATACCTTCAGAGCAGACAGCCTTAGTATTTTATTCGGGTGTCTTGACACATGCGGAAACTCATCGCTATGCTTAAGAGTATCCAAACCAAGCTAAGAATTCCATGCATCCCACCTACACATGGAAATCCCCAAAATAGATTGTTGGAATGGAATAAGCACTCTCTCCCTGGAGGGATGCATCTTGGTTACCTAATTCTGGAAAGTATTAGGTGCAGGTTTGGAAGAGCCAAGGCTTGGGGACCCCAGAGTTGGGGTGACTACTGGAGTCCAACCAACTAAAACTGCACAACTTGCCATTGATCGCACTGTCTGGCAAACTTTCCCACTACTTGTCCAGCTAGGACCACCTTACCCGACAGGGCTTTGGCTCGTAGCCTTGGGGCACAGGGAGAATTGATTCCACAGCGGCATCTGCAGATCACGCAGTCTCTGCCAGTATCTGTGCCCTGTGCTCAGCGTTCCCTGGGCAGTGAACCAACTGTGTCTGTAATGCTCCGCATTTTCAGTCTTTGACACGCTTACGTCGGTCTCCCGAAACGGGAATCATTTTCAATTATCAACACTAGAATCCCTTAAATAAAAATCACAGCAAAATAAGATGAAGCAGTTGGACTGAGGCCAGTTGCTTGTGGTTCCTGTTGGTCTTTAGCGGTTTTGTAACTTTCTGAATGGGATAACGGAGTCGTACCCCCACCCCTTCCTCCCCACTTCCCCTAGGTACTTAGTTGTAGCTCAGTTTGATTTGTAATTTGCTCGCGTCTCAGAACTCGCTTTAATCACAATCCAATTTGAGATCAGTGTCCAAGCAGAGTTCTGGCAGGTGAACAATGATGTGCAGGATTCCATAGACCCAGATTATTTTCCTTATCTAAATTCCACTTTCCCACATCCCCCCGAACCCTCTCCTATTGCCGTTTCACAGTGAGAATGCATCGAACACTAAATAATTATAAGACATCCCAAGGCGCTGAAATATTCTGTCTCAAATTCCAGGTGTGGAAACAACTTCTGTGCGACCCATCGCTACGCGGAGACTCACGAGTGCACTTACGACTACAAGAGCGCCGGCAGGCGGTACTTACAGGAAACCAACCCGGTTGTCAGCGCACCCAAGCTTCCGAAGATCTGACTTGTTCAGTGCTACCCGTCGCTTTTCTTTATCAGCCTGTGCTAAAAGAACAATAATGAGTATTTTAACCAGTTTGCTTAATTGGACCGTGGTCTGGAAAAAGGAAATTGCCAATCAGAAGCACACAACTGTTGCTCCGTATTTATGTAAACACTATCGTGGGTTTTTAAGTTTGCCTCTTAATTCTTTTAGTAAATTGTCAGTGTGTAAAAATGAATGAATTTCTGGAAGAGGATTTATACTGTTAGCAATTTAATTTCTGATGAACACAGATGTGTTTTTGTTATTTTGTATGTAATGCAGACAGTGCTTCACTTGGCAAATCATTCTCAAGAAATGCACTTTAAGACTTGTCATTGCTGTTTGACTAAAACTGAGTGTGTGTGTGTCTGTATGTGTCTGTGTGTGTGCAGGGAGTGGGGAGTTTTTTTTTAAAAGGAGGGCATGTGTATTAATTAGATTTTTGTGATAACATTTTAAGTGCTGTCTGTCCTAACATTGCAGGTTTTTCTTAAGCATATTTATTTCATGGTGAAACGTTTGCCTCTGCTGCTGTTACAGAATTAACATCACTGATTGATGAGTCAGTGTTAACTCTTAGCTCCCACACTGGTTGGTTGTGCAATATATCTGTAGTATTTTGTTTTCTTTTTCTTTTCAGTTTTATGCACTGTATAAAGTTCATTAAACACTCCCTCACTGGAAACACTCGTGAGACGTTCCAAAACTGTTCCTCCATCTACGACGAACCATCAGGAATTATTGATTAAACGAATCTCACAATTTTTGATTTCCATTGCCATATCAAACCGATTTTGGCAAAGTGAATCCTGTTTTTTATTCCCACAGTTTTTTAAACTTCAGATTCTACACAGTGTTGATTTTTTTTGCTATATATATATATATAAAAAAAACTTGGAGTGCTGTTAATACGATTCCAATAAAAATTGAATTTAGTACTTTGCTGGTACAAGTTTTTGTATACAACACACTGGTGATCCTAAATGTGCAGGTAACATCTATTAAAAAGAAACGTTTGATTGTTTAAATTATTGTATGTCAGAGTCTGTGCTTCACTTATTCGTTATTTATTTTTGAACGGATTATTACCCCCGGGAAAGCAAAAGCAATCAACTGACAACCAGGTTTCTACTTACTGCTAGATGGTTTACAAAAATTTGCCTAAGGTTTACCTAATGCAAGTTGTTTTGTTAAATACATTATACTATATAAATACACTATATAATTCTCAGGTGGCCTGGTTTGCATACTGTGCACTTTTCCATTATTCTTGTATCCACTGCTGTCTACTTTGCAAGTAGCCGAAATCTAGCTCTACCGGTTTCTGCTAGTGCTCAGCACATCTGCACCACTTAATAATTCCACTGATTAAATAGATGTACAGGCTTTATAGAAATCCTACAAATTGCAGCACAGAAGGATGCCATGCTGTCCATCAAACATATGTTAGTGCTAGCAAACCTCTTTAATCCCAATTTCCTCTTTCCCTGCACTTTTTCTTCACATTCTTCCTCATCGGATGTTTATCTGATACCCTTTCACACATGACGTTCAATAATTTCAGATACGTTTTTCGTTTGACTTCTGTCGGTCCCTGCAGTGTAGTTTTCTCCTCGGTGCTGCCATAGGGTCTGCTGGCTTGTACCCAGCAGCCTCTCCTTATGTATTGCTGCATTCACCCTGCAAATCTGGATTGCATCTAGATGTGGAGTCCTGTAGTTTAGTGGTTAGAGCACTTGCCTCGCAAACGAGAGGACTCTGGATCAATTTCCAGGCAGAGTGAAACCTTAGGCAACTTTCCTTACTCCACACGCCTGTTTACCTAGCAGTAAGTATAAACCCAGTAGTTAGCTGATTGGCAGATTGCATATTGTGGGTAATAATCCCTTCAAACATAATGAAATAAAATAATAATTTGGTCACTCAATCCACAACGGTTTGTGGTACACTGTTGTGCGCAATTGACTGCCGTGTTTCGCCCACAAAATCTACAGACAATTCACTTTACAGTATATTCTGTGAAGTGCCTTGAGATGTCTCAACGACATGATAAGGCGCTGTATCAAATGTAATTTGTTGATGCCAGATGAGGAGAGAATTTGGGGTCGGCTGTCAAAGACACTATTGATGACTAGAATGCCTCAAGTTTATTGTTTAGGCTCACTCTCGGGCAATAGAGCACTTCAGACCAGGCAGAGAAAATTGCTAAAAGGACCAGAGAGCAATTGTAAGACACGGTTAACACCAAGCATAACATAAAACTCTGAAAGGCTTTGAAGTGAATAAAATAGACTGTTCCTGATACTCAGTGAATCAACAACAAGGAAGACATCTGATCGGGTTAAGAGTTGAACAGAAGGTTGTTAAGCATCCCTTTCACCCAGAAGGTGATTATACCATGGGAACGCTTTGCTACAGATGGCTTTTTAAGGTAAGGCCAAAATATTTAAAAGAGATATTTGAAGAGAAACCATATGGTTAGGATGAGAGTAGTTAGTTCCAGTGGATGGATGGGCAATCACCAATATAGCCTTGATGGATCAAAGGCCCTCCGTATAAGGGTGTATAAAATTTTACAGGGATTGAAAAAGTAAACCCAGAACTATACTTTCAGATGCATCAAGAGCAGTAGAACAAGAGGACCTAGGTTTAGAATTATTCAGGACTGGCATCAGGAAGGTTTTCTTTACCCAGGGGGTAATTAACAACTGGTACAGGGTTGCTAGGAAGGGTGGTTGTGACCAGGGCACTCAACCTCATTTAAAAAACAGCTTCATGCTGTGCTGGTGGTGGTGGGTAGGTAGACAATGAGCCAAAGGACCTTCTTCCTCCAATCCATAATCTAAGGTTCCCAAAGCTTTCCACTCTGTTGTAAACTAATCCACATAGAATTAATTGCTATTGACATCCCCATTATTGTAACATGTGACTATCATGATGGTAGAAGGCAAACTAGATCTTGGTCTTTTTCTGTCTAGCAATTCCTATATTCCTTCCGCTATTTTTCACCCTCTTTCCCCCACCTTTCCCCTCCCCCCCCACCTATACTGTCATCAGCTGTTTCGTTTCACCAGCTGCGTGAAATTCTGTTTGTCTTTATAGATCTCTGGTGAGAGCGCAGCTTATTTGGTTCCATCAGCTATCAGACTGAACAGGTCCATTCACTGTAATCTCTGATGTGCAGGGAAAGAGGAGGAAATTGGGATGAGAGAAGTTAGCTGCCAGGAGCTCGCACTACTAGATGTTTGATGGGCTGCGTGACTTCGCAAGTTCACCACCATTGCTCGATACTCAGTCAACTAACTATATTGGGTTGACTTGGCCCTGGAGTGCTCAAAAGCTTTGTTAATTGCTTTGTGTGAACATTGCCCTGTTTTCCAAATCTCCGAGATGCTACCCTGCATGAAGGGCGCTATATAAATGTCGGTTGCTGTTGTTGTTTCTCTCGGAAATTAGGTTTGAATCTAGCTTTGACCGATTGGAAGAGAGTCCTTCTTTCTGACAGCTGCGAAAGTCCTACATACTAATAATAATCCTTGCATTTGATATATTACCTTATCACATCATTGAGATGTCTCAAAGCGCTTCACAGAATATATCTTAAAGTGAATTCGCTTTATATTTTGTGGGTGAAATGGGGCAGCCAATTGCTCACAGCAGTGTCCACAAACAGTCGTGGATTGAGTGAACACATTTTTTTTACGGATTATTACGATCTAATTATAACCTTTTAAGGGGGATTTGAAAGACAGATGGACAGAGCTAGTGGAAGGGAGTTCCAAAGGCTTTGTAGATCAAAGCTCAGGTACCGATGGTGACACGAAGAGAGGGGGTGAGGGATGCACAGCAAGCCTGAGTTAGTTGAGAGGGGAGCGGGCGAGCAGAGGAGTGGAGAGGTGGTAGGAAGTGAAGGGATTTATTAGTGAGAGGAGGCCTTTGAAGTCAGGCATTTGGGAGACTGCAGTTTGGTGTGAGTGTAGAGTCAAGCGCTCTGGGACGCTATACTGTGTAAGGGGCGCTTAGTTCCAAGTTGTTGGCGGGTGGCAGAGTCTCTGCCAAGGTGGATCCCCAGTGTGTGAAGGATGAGGAACCACTGTACAGGGTGACTCAAAAGTGCTCACTCTTAGGTCTATATGAGATATTCAAACTGCCCATGCTGTGTAGACGTTTACACATATCAGATCGGTGACAAAAACTTTCACGAATGCGTTGAAAGGCTCTCCTGGAATAATAGTAATAATCCTTGCATTTGATATAACGCCTCATCAAGTCTTCGAATCATCTCAAAGTGTTGCACAGCATATACTGTAAAGTGAATTGACTTTATATTTTGTGGGAGAAATGCTGCAGCCAATTGTGCACAGCAGTGCCCCACAAACAGTCGTGGATTGAATTGACCAATTTATTATGATTATTATTTTTTTTGAAGAAATTATTACCCACAGAAAAGCAATCCACCAATCGACCAACAACCAGATTCCTACTTACTGCTAGGTAAACAGAGGCATGTGGAGTAAGGAAATTTGCCCAATATTTCACCTTGTTGGGATTCAAACCCAGGTCTCTTGCTTGCGAGGCGAGCGCTCTAACCACTGAGCTACATGACTGCACACTAAGAATTCAAAAAAATAATAATTAAAAACCCTATGAGTAAGGACTTTGCCTGGATAAATAACTCGGACATTTATACTCGGGGGAGCTGAGATTGAAGTGTTGAGGAAGAGCACAGAAGGGCCTTATGATACAATCTTATCACAGCACAGAAGGAGGCCATTCAGCCCATCGTGCCTGAGCCAAAATAAAACTTTGCGAAACACTACTGTGTCGTAGGTAATTGTGAGCATTTTTTTAAAACACGTCTAGAATTGTGCTTATATTCATTGATGTCTTTGTTTTGTGATGATAGATGGTGTCCAGATGTTAGCAGACATTCTCTACTGTATTTCGGAGCAACAAAGTAACAGTTGTCAAAGTGAGGGTTTGTATCCTTGGAAAGCATGTTGCTGTCACGCGCACAGAAGAAATTGGCACCGAGGTAATCGAGCAAAAGGAACCGAATATTGTTCCCTTATGTTGGAGGCCCGTAGTGTAGTGGTTAGCGCGCTCGCCTCGCAAGCGAGAGGATCCAGGTTCGATTCCCAGGGGTGGGGCAAAACCTTAGACAAGCTTCCTTACTCAACACGCCACTGTTGACTTAGCAGTAAGTAGGAACCCGGTTGTTGGTCGATCGCCGGATCGCTTTGCGGGGGTAATAATCCCTTCAAAAATAAATAACAATAATAATAATTTGGTCACTCAATCCACGACTGTTTGTGGGACACTGCTATGTGCAATTGGCTGCCGCATTTCGCCCACAAAATACACAGTCAATTCACTTCACAGAATGCAGTGCATCAGCATGTTTCTAGACAATACTGAGATAGGCGGCTATTTGGCCCATCGTGTCTGTGCCGCTAAATACAGTGCTGTTTGTCGGGATTGTGCCATAGCCCAGAGGTATCTGCCCTTTCTGCTGAAACTGCGAGTAACAAAAAATGTGGTTACTCACTCCATGGCTATTTGTGGGACACTGCTGTGTGCCATTGGCTTCCACATTTCTTTCACAAAATACAATCAATCCACTTTACAGTATATTCTGTGAAGCGCTTTCAGATGCCTCACCGATGTGATAAGGCGCTATATCAAACCAAGGATTATTATTATTATTAGCTCTGCGGCTCTCTGCGAAGATATCTGCCTTTTCTGTTGTAGCTGCCTTGCTCAGCTTGCTGAGGTTTCTAGAGCATGAATGAAACTGGAGACCAGCCGTAAGCACCTAAGCATAATGTCTCCTGAGTTTCCTCCGAGCACTGTGAGCTCTTGGGACTGTCAGCCATTCTCTTCTCCAGGAGACCTCTGCCCACTTGCACCCAGTGACCACGAATGATAAGACTTTGAAGCACCGCAAAAAGCCTTGAAAAGCTTACTTTTTCTTCCCCAACCAAAATGTTGTCGAGCCCCGTAGTGTAATGGTTAGTGCGTTCGTTTTGCACGTGAGAGGTCCGCATTCAATACCTGGGGGTAGGGGAACCTTAGGCAGGTTTCCATACTCCATACTCCATAATCCACACTCCTCTGTTTACCTAGCAGTACACAGGAACCCGATAGTTAGTCAATTGGCAGATCGCTTTCTGGGGTTAGTAATCCCTCAAAAAAATGTGGTCGCTTAATCCATGACTGTTTGTGAACATTGCTGTGGGAAATTTGCTGCTGTATTTCACCCACAAAATACACAGTCAATCCACAATATATTCTGTGAAGTGCTTTGAGATGTCTCAATGACATGATAAGGCGCTATATCAAATGCAAGGTTATGTTTGCGAGTAAGGTTGTTTTTTTATTGAGAAAAAAAACAGTGCTGATTTGTGGCATCTCCCAAACGGCTATGTAATTCAAAGTGACATGTGCTAATATAGTTCCAGAGAAAACCATCTGCTTTATAAAATCGCAGCCAGCTAACTGGGAAGGTAATCTCTCTTTGTTAGGAAAATCCATTGAGGAGTGTATTAATCGTGCAGTATTTATTAATTCCCAATCGAGTAATAATAATAATCCTTGCATTTGATATAGTGCCTTATCAGATCATTGAGATGCTTTGAAAGCATTTCACATAATATATATACAACAGAATATATTGTAAAGTGAATTGACTGTATATTGTGGGAGAAATAGGTAGTCAATTGCACACAGCAATGTCTCACAAACAGTTGTGGATTGAGTGACCAAAATATTGTTATTATTATTTATTTTTGAAGGGATTATCACCCCTAAAGCAATCTGCCAATCGACCAACAACCGGGCTCTTACTTACTGCTGGGTAAACAGAGGCATGTGGAGTAAGGAAATTTGCCTAAGCTTTCGCCCCGCCTGGGAATTGAACCCGGGTCCTCTCGCTTGTGAGGCGAGCGTGCTAACCACTACATAACAGGAATCCACAATTTCATATGAAGTCAGACCTTCTATGAAATCTGCTGTGGCTCCTGTGCTGCTGAGCCCAAAGGAAAGTTGGCAACGTTTAATAGTTTGGACCTTGATATAATGTTGGTATAATCGTCACTAGAGGTTTTGAGTAATTGTGCTTTGGAGTTAGGGAGAAGTTTCACAAAGGGAGAGAGAATAATTACATTCCTATAGTGCCTTACCTCATCAAAGCATCTCAAAGAGGTTTATTGTCCCACAAGCAGTCAATCCACGACTGTTTGTGGGACATTGCTGTGTGCAATTGGCTGCCGCATTTCGCCCACAAAATATACAGTCAATTCACTTTACAGTATATTCTGTGAAACGCTTTGAGATGTCTAGAAGACATGAAAAGAGCTATATTAAATGCAAGGATTATTATTATGTTATTATTATTGTTGTTATTCAGTGTAATGCAATGTGGTAGCCTTTTTCACCAGTAAGGTAAGGTTCCAGAAATAGCCATGGGGTAAGTGACCAGTTTACATGGAGGATTATTTCCAATCCTGGCCATATGATCATCTGAACAGACACCTCAGTCGAAACCTGAAGGACAGCACCTCCGACAATGCAACACTCCCCCCGGTATTGCACTGCAGTGACAGCCTAGACTGTGACCTTAGCTCCTCATGTGGGACTCGAAACCCCAACCTTCTGATCCAAAGGCCAGAGTGCTACCGACTGAGCTAAACTTCAGCTTTGGTTATGTTAGTTTGTGGAAGGAGTGAGTGAATATTTTTTTGTGTTTCTTATACTCTTCAGAGCTTGGGGGTGGGTTTTTTCGCAAGTCGAGTGAAGCTAACAGGTAATGGTAAGTGGGTAGGAGAGGTAGGGAGGTCCAGTGTCATTATCAACGGTGCTTGACACATCACCTTGGAGCTAACTTAGGGTGGAGGTACGTGGGTTCTCCTTGGAGCTGAACTGGCTCCAAGGTGACGTGTATGGCAACAGAATGTCGGAATCGAGCCAGCTCTCTGTTGCCATTTGCATTTCCCACCTCAGCCTCCCCGACACAGAGTGAGATTTTCTATCCAGTGATAATTTCGGAGCAGTATTTTGCTATTATCAACACACTGAGACCATTTGGATACTGATTGTTTGTGACGTCTCTAGTCCAGTTCTTGAGCCAGACAGGTCCACAGCACTCTAGGGCACTGCTGATGACAGCACAGCCAGCCTGGCGCATCGGCTGGACTTGAAAGTGCAGACCAGTCACTGGGGGCAGGGAATCTTCCCACTCAGCTCATGTTAATCCTGCAAGCCAAAGCCCTAACGGGTAGGGTGGCCCCTCGCTGGGCAAGCAGCCGGAAAGCTTGCCAGACATAGATCCCACTCAACCCTAGGAACTATGCTTAGCTCCCCATTCCTTCCCCTTTCTCAGCCCTCAGTAAGATAGTCACCGGCTGGTCTTTAGAAATCCAGCAAACTGCATGTTACCTCTCCCTTCTCCTGTGCTCAGCTACTACTGTGAAGCGTTCAGAAATTTCTCTATGTGAAGAGCGCTGTGTAAATGAAAGTTGTTTAAGCTCTCGCTAGGTGGATAGCAGGAATTCCTCAAGAGCAGCACAATTATAATAATAATTCTTGCATGTGATACAGCACCTTATCACATCATTGAGATGTCTCAAAGCGTTTCACAGAATATAGTGTACAGTATAGTGCCTGTGTATTTTGTGGGCGAAACACATGGCAGCAGTGTTCGTGGATTGAGTTGCCAATTTATTATTTCTTTGGAGGGATTATTATCCCCGAAAAGCAATCCGCCAATCGACTAAGAACTGGGTTCCTATTTATTGCTGGGTAAACAGAGGCGTGCAGTAAGGAAACTTGCCTAACATTTCGTCCTGCCTGAAAATCGAACCCGCTTGCAACTCAATGTAATGTGGAAGCTCAGAAGCCGTGTGAGAGCAGGCTGTATTGGGCAAGGCGGGGTTAACACTGAGGCTTCAGTACCAAGGGAAATGCTTTAATCCATTTGTCACATGATTGCTCTGGGACCAGAAAGCGAAGGAGCAAAAGGCTGGTGAGAGCTGAGGTTCAGTGCAGGTCGGAGAGGCTCGGGGAAGCGGATCACGGGGAGGAAGAGGTACATAGAGAATCCTGACCAGCACGAGACGTCTGGACACAAGGAATGAACGCCATCAGTCAGGTATCACTTTAAGGCCAATCTTCTCTATACCGGAGCCGGGAATCGAATGCACACTACTACGCTGGGCTTGTTGCTCACTGTCCCTGAATCAACATTTGATGTGGTTTCAGCTTGGCGGGCTTCAAGCCACCGGCATTTCAAAGGTAGCGGCACAGCCTTTGTCTGACGACTGAGACACCAGAGCCTTTGTTCTCATTCAGGTGAGCTCGCACACACACACACACACACACACACACACATAGCGAGTGCACAGCCCATGCACAGCACCTGCTTCACATGGACTGAACCCAGCCCAGCCCCACAGACGTCAGAGGGCACAGTTAGATGGCAATTGCATCCTGTGTGCTCATCTCTTTCTCGTGCAGTCCTGTCCCTTGGTTAGAGCACTTGCCTCGCAAACGAGAGGTCCGGGGTTCAATACCTGGGCGGTGTGAAATCTTAGGCAAGTTCCCTTACTCCACACGCCTCTATTTGCCTACCAGTAAGTCGGAACCCGGTTGTTAGTCGATTGGCAGATCACTTTCTTGAGAGAAATAAACCTTTCAAAAAAATAAATTAATGAAAATGTGGTCACTCAACCCATGACTGTTTGTGGGACACTGCTGTATGCAATTAGTATGTTTGGCCCACAAAATACAGTCAATTCCCTTTCTCAATAAGTGATAAGGCGCCATGTGAAATGCAAGGATTATTATTATTGTGAGTTTATACAGGTTAAAGGGGAATGGAGGAGAGGTGAAAGGGCGAGCATTGTAGGATATTTGTTTCCAGCCTGTCCTTGGTATTCTGTGCCTAAAATGCTCTTCTTGTGTTTTTTTTGGTCAGCCTGGGTGTCCCATAGAAATGGAAGACCGTCACAGTGCTTAAGACAGAGTTTCACACGCACGGAAACTTTCCCTGTATCTGGAATGCGCAGGTTGGCAAGAGCCGAGGCTTGGGGACCACAGTGTGCATTGGGGTAACTGCTGGAGTCTAACCAGCAAAAACGTCCTTTGGATGAGACGTTAACAACAACTACAACAAGATTACATTTGTATTGCGCCTTTCAGGTCGGGAGGACGTCCCAAGGCGCTGGACAGAGTACAGCATTTCAGACCCGAGCTGGGGTCGGGGGGAGGGGGTGGGGGGGAGGGGAGGGGAAGGGGGGTAGCCGATGGCATGGTCGAAGAGGAGGGTCTTGAGGTAGGACTTGAAGGAGGCTAAGGAGGTGGTGAGGCGGAGTAACTGGGAGAGGGAATTCCAAAGGTTGGGGCAGAGTGGCTGTTGGGGGCAGAGTTGCCAATGATGGGTCGGGTGGGTTGGGGGATGTGGAGCAGGCCAGAGGGAACGAGCACATTGGTAGGGGGTTAGGAGGTCGCAGAGGTAGGGTGGGGCGAAGCAATGGAGGGCTTTGTATGTGAGGACCAGGATCTTGAACTGGATCCTCTGAAGGATGGGAAACCAATGGAGTCGAGCGTGAGTGGGGGAGATGGGGTCACGGAGTTTGGTGCGGGAAAGGACACGGGCTGCAGAGTTCTGGATTATCTGCAGCCTGTGAAGGGAGGAATTGGGAAGGTCAACAAGCAGGGCGTTTGTGTAGTCGAGCCTGGAGGTGATGAAGGCATGAACAAGAGTTTCAGCGGCCTGAGGGGTGAGGTAGTGACGGAGTCGGGCGACGATACAGAGGTGAGGGAAGCAGAGCAGGTCATGGCTTGAATGTGGGGGAGAAAAGACAGTTGAGGATCAAACGAGACACCTCGGTTCCTGAGTGGCTTGGTGAATTGTATTGTGCAACCATGGAGGTTGATGCTGCCAGAGCCTGAGGTGCTGAGGCGTTGGCGTGAGCCAATCAGAAGGGCCTCAATCTTGTTCACATTCAACTGTAGGAAATTTGCCCTCAACCAGGACTTGATGTCCGACAGCAGTCTGTCAGGACAGCAGTGGTCCTGACAGTATCAGAAAGATAGAGTTGGGTGTCACCCGCATACATGTGGAAGTTGACCCCATGTCTGCGGATGATGTCACCAAGGGGGAGCATGTAGATATTAAAGAGGAGAGGGCCAAGGACAGAGCCCTGGGGGACGCCAGATAAACTGAGGTCCTACCTGCGTGTTCAGGTGGACTTTAAAGTTCCCATGGTGCTATTCAAAAATAGGAGAGAGTTTCTCTCTCCTGGTTTCCTGGCCAACAAACCCCCCCCAAATAAAATTGGTTACTCATTTCATGGCTGTTTGTGAGACACTACTCTGTGCAATTGGCTGCTGCTCTTTGCCCACAAAATACACATATCAATTCACTTTACAACATATCCTGTGAAGCACTTTGAGACCCTCGACAACATGATAAGGCGCTCTATTAAATACAAGTATTATTATCATTGTTGTTATTAAAATCGCATAGCTCATCATTGAGAGCCCTGTCTGGCAAGCTTTTTCGAAGCTTGTCCAGCAAGGACCACTAGGGCTTTGACTTGCAGGGGTAACAGGATCTGAGTGGGAGGATTCCCTGCCCCCAGTGACTGTTCTGCCCTTCCAAGTCCTGCCAATGAGCCAATGCCCTAGAGTACATGTTGAGTTCCTGCAGTGGACCTGCCTGGTTCAACTTAATTGGGATCTTATAATAATCAGACATTAAACTGAAATTCCGTTTAAGTGGATATTTTGAAGAGAAACGATTAATAATCCTTACGTTTTCATTTGATGTTGTGCCTTTCAGGACAGGGATACTTCCCAATAATCTGTGTCTGGATTTTCCATGTATAGGTGGACTGCACGGAATTCTTAGTTTGCCATCTTGCCAGACTGCACTCTCAATGGCAAGCTATGCGGGTTTAGCTGGCTGAATTCCCGCAGTTACCACAATGCATACTCTGGTGTCACCAATCCTAGCCTCATGTCAACCTGCTCCTAGTACTCTCCGGAATTAGGTAAGCAGCATGCAACACTCAAGAGAGATTGCACGTTCCATTCTATACATGAAACTTTCCATGTGTATGTGGGATGCATGGAACTCTCAGCTTGGTTTGAATACTCTTACGCACGGTGATGGGTTGCCGCATGTGTCAGACACCCGCTGACCAGAAAAAACACTGCCGCAGGTCTCAAAATCGCTTTATGTAGGTGAAAGTCTGAATCACAGCTATTACACCACAGTAAAATCTTGCAAGGCACTATGAGAACATTTTAATGGCGTAATAAGGCATTGTATCCAATGCAAGGATTATCATCATTTTATTATTATTGTTATTATATCATCATGAGCGAGTACTTTCCAGCAGGGGGCATCTGTATAGCTTTCAGGAGCATGCAATCCTGTCTGCTCTTTTTATTAAACTCCTTCCTTCTCTGAGCTGTGTGTGTGGGTGGGTGGGTGGGGGGTTTATAAACAATGTGCTCACACTATCTAAGAAAACTTTCTGATTGCAGCTGGGATGGAGGCAAGCAAATTCTTACACAAATTCTCTCTGATACTGCACCACATGATGAGCATTTAGCTAGTTCTATCAATAAATAATAATAATCCTTGCTTTTAATAGAGCATTTTATCATGTCTTTGAGAAGTCTCAAAGTGCTTTACAGAATATACTGTAAAGTAATTTGACTGTATATTTTGTGGGAGAAATGCAGCAGTCAGTAGATTGAGTGACCAAAATTATTAATTTTTTTAAAAATGTATTACCGCCAGGAAAATGATCCACCAACAACCTATTTACTGCTGGGTAAACAAAGGTGTGTGGAGTAAGGAAACTTGCCTAAGGTTTCACCCCGCCCAGGATCGAACCTGGGTCCTCTAGCTTGCAAGGCGAGAGCTCTAACCACTACACTACAGCCCTCCATTTGGGTGTTTATTAGACATACGCAACCCACCACTCCGGCTAGCTCATCACTGAGCCCTTTTCCCCTTAGAGTGACGAATTATCAGGATTCGTTTACTGTATTACTCAGTCACTTTGCTCGGCAAGAAGGGTTACACCCATCCGATTGAATTTGGTTCTTCTTTTTATTCTCTCTCTTTTTCCCAAATGAATCCCAGATAGTTCATGAAGATCTGCTCCCCCTTTTCCCCACACTAGAGCAAGCAACTCCCAACAGGTTCTGATAAAGAATCTCCCTGCTTTACTTAGGGAGAGATCTGGGAGGAAAGTGGGTACGATTAAAAACACAGAACCAAAGCCTCGACCTGGCTTGGCTCCCTTGAGTACAGGAAATTGTGTGTGTGTGTGTATGAGACAGCACATGTGGTTTACATTATCTGAGCATCATCTCTGGGCGTGGATGAAGAGAGAGAGAGAGAGACGGGGAGAGGGAATGGAGAGAGAAGCAGGGACTGACTGAGAATGTGAGGGGAATGGCGACAGCAAACTCTGTGGAGAGAAAGAGAACGACTGTGCTTCCAGTCTAGCCATATATTTTGGTCAGCCGGGTGTCTGACACATGCAGAAACCCAACACCGTGTTTAAGAATATCCAAACTAAACTGCACATCCCACCTACACATGGAAATTCCAGAAATAGATTATTGGAATGGAATGTGCACTCTCTCCCCGGAGGGATGCATCGTGCTTACCTAATTCCGGAGAGTATTAGGCGCAGGTTGGCAAGAACCAAGGCTTGGGGAACCCAGAGTGTGCGTTGGGGTAAGTGTTAGATTCTAACCAGCTAAAACTGCATAGCTTGCTATTGATAGCAAGCTTTCCCGCTGCTTGTCCAGCTAGGATCACCCTACCCATTAGAGCTTTGGCTTGCAAGGTTAAGAAGAGCGGAGTGGAAGGATTCCCTGCCCCTAGTGACTCGTCTGGTGTTCCAGGTCCTGCTGATGAGCTGTGCTGTCATTAATCATCAGCAGTGCCCTGGAGCACTGCAGTCCCACCTGGCGAAGCATTTAGCAAACCTTTTGCCCCTCCCCCCAGGAGCCACTGTCTGGCTAGACTGGGCGGACAAACCTTCTTCCTCTCTGTCCAGTCTAGCCAGAGACTGTAGCTGTGGCGGAGGCTGGGGGGAGGGGAGATGGATTGCTAAATGCTTCCTCTGTGGGAAGGGAATACAGCTTTAACAGATGTGGCTTCGAGTTTTAAATCCATTTCTCTTGCTGTTGTAGCTAAGATACACCCAGCTTACTGAACTCCCAGTAAACAGATTCCTGCTGTACATTCCTCGTATTGAGAACGCCTCAGTGTTAGAGGAACGAGCTATGTGCTACCGTTAGACAGGCTGGGGCTCTTCAGGCTTAAGAGAAGATGGCTCAGAGAGGACCTTATAGAGGTGTGTAAAATATTAAATGGGAATGAAAAAGTAAACTCAGATCAATACTGCACCAAGGAAGTATATGTACTCAACGCTCCGAGAAACCAAGTTGTTGTGGTATAATAAAAATCATCCTTCATATACCGCTTTATCACATTGTTAAGGCGTCTCAAAGTGCTTCACAAAATATATGGTAAAGTGAATTGACTATATTTTGTGAGCACAGCAGTGTCCCACAAACAGTTGTGGATTGAGTAACCGTAACTGTTTTTTGAAGGGATTATTACCCCCAGAAAGTGATTCGCCAATGAACTAACAACTGGGTTCCTTCTTACTGCTGGGTAAAAAGAGGCATGTAGAGTAAGGAAACCTGCCTAAGGTTTTGCCCTGCCCAGGAATCGAACCCAAGTCCTCTCGCTTGTGAGGCGATCGCGCTAACCATACTATGCTACGGGACTTTTGTATAACAAGAGGTCACAGGTTTAGAGTTGTAAAAGGCACTAGTAAGTTTTTCTTTACCAAGAGGATAATTAACAAATAGAACAGGATTGCTGGGAAGGATGGTTGAGGCCAGGATACGAGGATCACATTTTCAACACACGTCTGGTGTCAACCTGGCTCAGTTGGTAGCGCTCTCGCCTCTGAGTCAGACTGTTCAAGACCCACGTGTGGACTGTGAATTCGCAACATCTAGGCTGATGTTCCAGTGCAGCGCTACTCAGTTCAGGAGGGCAAGTCAAAGAGCTTCACAGGATTTCCTGTAAAGTGTAAAGACTATTGCAGGCAAATCTGTAACCAATTTGCACAAAGCAATGTCCCATGAGAGCCATGAAGTGAGCATTCGGTTTTATTTGGAGGAGTTGTTGGCCAGGCCAGAAACTCCCCTCTCTTTTGGAATAGTGCTGCGAGGTCTTTAACCAACGACTGAACAGGCAGACGGGACCTCCAGCTCAGAATCCCAGTCAGCTCTCGGAAATGATTTGAGACAAAACTGTATAATGTGAGACTGTAGTTAGTGTATCATCTAAAGGAATAGCATCTCTGACGATCCAGAACCCCATTTAATGATAAAAATCCTTACATTTGAAATAGCGCTTTACCATGTTGTTGAGATGTCTCAAAGCGCTTCACAGGGTATATTTTAAAGTGTAGTGACTGTATATTTGTGGGCGAAATGGGATGCCAGCTGCACACAGCAGTGTCCTGCAAGCAACCAAGGAGTGAGAGACCAATTTTATTTAGAGAACGAGTGAGAGAGACACTCCGCTTTTAAATAGTACCATGAGATCTTCTAACATCCACCTGATCAGGCAGGTGGGACCTTGGTTTAACGCCCCATCTGAAGGACGGCACCTCCAGCAATGTAACACTGCCCCAGCGCTGCATTGGAGTGTCACCTTAGACTCTAATTGAAAAGCAATTGCTTACACTGATCACTGAATAGTACCTGTCTGCTCCGCAGGTTGTTAAAAAGGATGATATTTTCTGGAAGGCGGTGGCCCTGAGAGAGACCTCAGCTGGCGAACACTTACTTGGAAGATTGCGAGATGCCCATACATCATATCTCTGTTACCCCAGCTCAGGACTCGCACTGTGCCAAGGCTAAAGAGAAGCAGGTAGCAATTGTTGTCTTCTGTCCAATCTGATTTGCAAACTCCTTTCTCCACTGTGGACACTAACAAGAAAATGCTGATATTTAAAGTCCAGGTAAAACAATCCATCCCCAGCCCTGGTTACTGAGTGCATGAGTACCATAATGTTCAGTTATGGTGCGCAATTGACTGTCCTTCTTGGGGTTGGGGGGTGGGTGGGTCTGGGCCTTTGTGATAATCTCTAGTCTGGTTCCTGAGCCAGGCGAGTCTGCAGTATTTCAGGGCTCTGCTGATGACAGCACAGCACAGCCAGCTTGGCTCATTGGCAGGACCTGGAAGGGCAGACCTGTCACTGGGGAAGGCAGGGAATCCTCCCACTCAGCTTCTGTTAACCCTGCAAGGAATTTCCATGTATAGGTGGGAAGCATGGAAGCATTCTCAGTTTGGTTTAGTTCAAGTCCCACATTGAGACTCAGAATCACATATTTTAAGCTGACACTCCAATGCAGAGCTGGGGTTTGTTGCATTGTTGGAGGTGCCGCCCTTCGGATGAGGTGTCAAACCAAGGTCCCATCTGCCTGTTCAGGTGGATGTTAAAGATCTGCTATTCAAAAATAGAAGGGTGTTTCTCTCTCCCAGTGTCCTGGCCAACAATTCCCCAAGTAAAATTGGCCACTCACTGCATGGCTGTTTATGGACATTGCAGTGCGTAACTGGCTGCTGCGTTTTGCCCACAAAATACAGCGTCACTATATTTCACAGTATATCCTGCGAAGCTCTTTGAGACATCTCAATGACGTGATAATTCACTCTATCAAATGCAAGGATTATTATTATTATTAAGTGGGGAACAGGAGATCGATGGAGTCAAAGACACACGGATTCCCGTGAGGGGAGAGAGTGAACACTACCCATACAGCTAGTATTAGCTAGTACAGCTAATAATCCTTGCCTTTGATAACCGCCTCTCTTCATATCTTCAAGACTGCTCTTCACAGGATTTGACTATAAATGCAGTGTATTCTGTAGGCGAATGTGGCAGCCAGTTTGCTCATAGCAACGGAATGAGTGACTGATCTTGGAGAATCTCTTTTCCAGTAGTGCCATGAGATCTTTAATGTCCACCCGGAGACAACCTCTCGATATAACGAGGATCTTGAACCCTAATGGTGGATGGGGAATCAATGGAGAAAGGCGAGAATGGGGATGATAGGCTCGCAGAGCCTCGTGTGGGAGAGGACAAGAGCTGCAGAGTTCTGGATAGTTACTTGTTAATCCTTGCATTTGATATAGCGCCTTATCACATCATCCAGAAGCCTCACAGTGCTTCATAGGATATGCTGTGAGGTGAAGTGACTGTGTGACATTGCTGAGATATAATTCAACATGAGATTAACTTCAATGCTGCAGTTTCTTTGACTGTGCGTAGGATCGCCTTTTCCCTCCCACCCACCGGGCTCAGCATCAGGCTCCACCACTGTTAAGCTCTCCAAGATAAGCACTGTATAAATCCAAGTTGTTGTTGTTTATGGCTTAATACAGCTGAATCCTTTTCCTAATGAACAGCACTATAATGTACCACACATGCTCCCTGTTACTTGTTGCAATGTGCATTACCTTGCATTTATCTGCATTAAAACACAATCTGTCACTGCTTGACCCATCTGCTGAAGTAGTCCAAACCTTCTCAAATGCCGTTTCTCCTATAATCTTATAAATTATAGCATCAACGAGACTTTTCAGCCTTTGCTGGTGCTCTGCTAACTCCTCCAGTTTTCCATAGCATATTGGTTAGCTTGCTTGCTTCGTTAGCGAGAGGACCCGGGTTTGATTCCTGGGTGGGATGAAACCATAGGCAAGTTTTCTTATTCTACACACTTCTGTTTACCTAACAGTAAGTGGCACTTGGTTTTTAATTGATTGGTGGATCGCTTTCCGGGGTTAATAATCCCTTCAAAAGAATTTGGTCTCTCAATCCACGACTGTTTGTGGGCTACTGCTGTGCGCAATTGCTTGCCTAGTTTCGCCCACGAAACACAGGCAATCCACTTTACAATATATTCTGCGATGAAGCTTTTTGAGATGTCTCAACAATGTGATAAAGTTCTATTATTATTATAATTCTAATGAAAAAATATAAACCAGAAAGGATTCTTACAGATCTCTGCACTCTGTACGTTGTGATGACGCAGAGGAACTGGGCTGTGCACCTCTCTGTGTTAGAGTGGTTTGAATTATGAATGAAGCACTGGGTTTTGTCTTTAGCCGGTGCTGCTTCCCCTGACTGTGGTTCACGCTCCACGTGCGGTCAGGGAGGTTGAGTGCTCCCTGGTTTCCGGGTCTGCGATGCGCTCCCATTCCAGGAAACCCAGAAAACCCATTCCCCTCACTTAACAGGCTCTTAAACCTGACGCCTGATGTGCAACCAGGGTGTGGAAATTTCCCGTTGTCTGGCGTGGAGTGAGCACTCTCTCTCTCCCCCGGAGACAAGCATGTTGTTGTTGTTGTTAATGTGCAGGTAGCAAGGCTCTGGGGCTTGGGGCTCCCCCAGACTGTGTTTTGGGATACAGCTGAATTTTAACATTGTGGAGATTGTCGCTTGTCACTGCTTGTTCAGCCACTCAATCCAATAGTTCATCTCCCTTGCATGGATAAATGCAATATGGCTAATATCAGGCTGAATAGAGGTTACTGCTTAATATTGGACTATAAAGTGGTGTCACTGTTAATAGACTATATAGAGATGTCACTGTTAATATCAGACTATAGAGGCGCTCACTGCTGATATCAAACTATATAAGGATGTCACTGGTAATATTGCACTGTACTAATAGACTATATAGAGATGTTACTGTCAATACAAGGGAACTAAGATTGCTGTAATGTACTACACAGTGTATCACAGTGCTATACTCTGTTACAGAGTGCATCATTGTGCTGCGCTCCAGAATGCGTCATAGTGCTGTAGATGTTTAGGGAGAGAGCTGAGATTGTGTTAGCAGGCTGACCAGGGGAGGATTGATTGGGAAGGTTAAGCCAGCGAGTGTATCTGATTATGCATGGTTTGGCTGTGAGTTATGTTTGACAGATGGAGCTTAAAAACACGACTTGCATGAAAATAGCTGGAAAGGGATCATCTTATGACCAGATGGAGCGGGGGAGGGGGTGGGGTGGTGGGGGGTTGGTGGGAGAACATCTATCAGTGCTCCTAATACCTCACTATGCCATCTCTGGCGGCTGACTCGCCAATCCGTCCTCTCAACCGGATAATCATTTGCCGAATAAGGAACAAGCCTACTTTTTTATAGCTCCTCAAAACATTCCACAGCGTTCTCAGTATATCCAAGACCCGGGGAGAAACTCCCTTCTCTTTAGATGGTGTCGTGGGATCTTTAACGTCCACCCGAGGAATAGCGACCAGTAAATGTAACTCCGGCACACTCAACCTCTGCCTGTACCCTTTCATCACTGTGTCTCCTGTGTGTCAGTCTGGCTCAGTCAGTAACACTCTAGCCTTTGAGTCAGAAGGTTGTGGGTTCAAGACCTACGTCGGGACTTGGAATCACATTGTCTAAACTGACCCCCCATTGCAGTGCTGGGGGTGGGGGGAGTGAGGGTTGCATTGTCAGAGGTGTCGACCATCCAATGAGCTGTTAAACTGAGGTCTTGTCTGCCTATTCACGTGGCTGTCAAAGAACCATGGCATTATTTGAAAAGAGAAGGGAGTTTCTCTCCCGCGGTGTCCTGGCCAACAATCCCCCAGAGAGAATTGGTCATTCACTCCATGGCTGCTTGTTGGACACTGCTGGTGCACAAACTGGCTGCTGCGATTTGCCCTGAGCTGTGTCTCTAACACAATGCTGTGCTCTGTCTCTAATGCTAAACACTGCACTGAGCTGCCAGTGTAATAGTAATAATAATCCTTGCATTTGATATAGCACCTAAATGCTTTGTTGAGGTGCCCCAAAGTGCTGCACAGAATATATATTGATAAGTGGATTAATTGTATACATTGTGGCTGAAATGCTGCAGCCAATTGCGCACAGCAGTGTCCCACAAACAGTCATGGATTGAGTCATTTTTTTTATCTTGGAGGGATTATTATCCCAGAAAAGCAATCCGCCAATCGACTAACAACCAAGTTCCTACTTACTGCTAGATAAATAGAGGCGTGTGGAGTGAGGAAACTTGCCTAAGGTTTTGCCCCGCCCGGAAATCAAACCAGGGTCCTCTCGCTTGTGAGGAGAGCACGCTAACCACTATGCTACAATACTCCATGTAAACTACGTAAACCCAGTTGCTGGGATGGATTTGCACATGAAGCCTGTATTCGTCTTGGTTGCGTTGTGAAGAGATTCGGCAATGCCATCAGCTGTTGCTCGCCTCTCAGCAGACATCAGGTGAGCAGATGGTAGTGAGACTGAATTCCTGAAAATGACACTCACCAGTTCCGGTGTCCTTATGAAATCAGGAAGCACTCTTTCACATGCAGGAAAGTGGAAATCTGGAACTCTCCCCAAAAAGGCTATGGATGCAGGATCCATTCAACTTTTCAAGGTTGCGGTGGATAGATATTTGTTAGGTAGGGGTATCAAGGGATATGGGGCAAGCACTGATATTTGTAGTTGAGGTACAGATCAGCCATGATCTATTAGAATGGCGGAACAGGCTCAAGGGGCTGAATGACCTAGTCCTGTTCCTCTATTGCCATGTTGTATTTCTGTCCATCCATCCACGCTGATCCTTGTCAGCCTCCAATGCTATTCTCAAGCAGATAACTGCCCAGTTCTGTTATTGTCAGAAGTAATTGACACAGCTTTGGGGAAAGCAAGGCTCGCTGTCACTTTCACAGCTTTGAATGATTTTAACAGCAGTGAAGTCCATTCCCGCTTCACTCTGGGGTTAAGTGTCTTCACCCTTTCAACCTGTTTCATTTTAGATCCTTTTTTTGATCAGCTGGGTTGCTGACGTGTACGGAAACCCGTCGCCGTGTTTCAGAGTTTCTAAACCAGTCCATGCATTAC